TTTCAGACTTTGCAGGTTTGTTTTGGCAGAGACAGTTCACCAATCAGTTCAGTTTGGGTTTCTGGCTGTGTCTGCTGGTAATGTCCTTGGGCAGGTGGGGCCTGCTATTAGGGTCTATTTTGGGGTGAGGCAACTGTTTGAGGTCTGAGGTTGGGGGTAGGGGAAGTGTGCCAGTAGCTGAGGACTGCTGGCTTGGTCCCCTGCCCAAATGAGGCTGTGGGATGAGCTCCATGGCTGCCTGAATCCTCTGGTCAGGCTTACTAGACAGTCGTGACTGGGTATGATACTGAGCAGTAGGTGGGGCTATGAATTAGCTTCCCTGCCCTGGCAGGACAGCAGGACAAGACCCAGGGCCTGCAGGGGCTCATTGTTTGGGGACCCAAAATAGTGTGTACTGAATATGCTGGTCAGGTGAGGCCACCAGTTTTGCTCTGCAGACAGGAAAAGCCACGGGCTGTGCTCTCTGTTCAAGTGCCACTCCAGGCAGGGCTGTTGGGTAGGCTATGCAGGTTCCTTGGCCAGGTGGGCTAAAGGCTGTATTCAGCAATAAGTAGGGCTATGAATTAGTTTCCCTGCCCAGGTGCAGTGGGAGAAGCAGCTCCAAGGCCACTAAGGCTCTTCGTGGTCTTGACTCAAGCTGACCCTTGCCCCAAATTCCCTGGCTGAACAGGGCCACTGGCTTTGCTCCGAGGTCAAATCAGCTCTGCCTGCCTACCTCTTGGCTCAAGCATTGCTGGTTATACAGCAATTTCCAGGTGTTCTCACCAGCCCATCCTATTAGATAGGGCCAGGGGCCACGCTCCATAACAGGTGGACCTAGCTCTCCTGCCTTGGAGGGACTGAGAGAACCCACTCAGGCAACTCCCAAATTTTCCCAAACTGGCCTTCTGGTCAGGAGGGGCTGGGAGCCACACTCCACAGCTAGTGGGGCTATAACTCAGCTCTTCAGCATGGGCAGACCAGGCTCTAGGGTGGCAAAATTCTTCATTTGAGGACCTGCACCCTGCCGAGTTCCCTGGTCAGACTGCACCACTGACTTGGTTCTGCAGATGAGCAAAGCCGCTGGTTAAGACCACTACCGGGTAGGAACTTGGTTGTTGGAACCCTTCTCCCCTTCTGTCACAATCAGATTCCCAATAGTTGTGCCCCATAAATTCCCCTGTGATCCCCGTGGGGTGGAACCAGAGTAGGGGCTCCCACGAAGTAACCCACAATGCTGGGGGTGCTGGATGTCACCCCTGGGCTCTTTTTCCCTCTGGAGGAGCCACAGGCTCAGAGGAGACCTCTTGGTGTGGCGCTGTGCTGGCCTGGGGGAGGGGCAATGCGGTCAGCGTGCACCCGTCCCTCTTACCCTTCTAACACAGTCTGTCTTGGTCTCTGTGGTGCAGGGGGTGCTTCAGCCTCCCTCCCATGTCCCAGGACTCTCTCAGTGGTGTCTTGTCCATGAATAGTTGCTAATTGTTCTTCTTGTGAGGGGGAGCAAAGTCAGGAATGACCTACATCACCATCTTGGTGACATCACTCCCTTTACTGTGTGTTAACACTGTTCTGAGGACTTTATATGGATTAATCTCTTTAATCCTCACAACCACTTTATGGGATAGGTAATACTGTTAACCTTATTCTACAGATGTGAAAACTGAGACAGAGAGAGGATGAAGTGGGAACCCTTGTTTGATTCATGGCCCCTGTGCTTTTAACCCTGAGAGTGGGACTCACCAAACTGTCCCTCTGCTCCCCACCTCCCAAGAGCAGGCATGCCTCGCCTCTAACATGGCAGTGTTACAGTGCCCTTCACTGGGCCCTCTGTGTAACGCACCTGCTGGAGACGGCAAATTAATGGGGGAGGCAAGAGAGGTAGGTAGGCGATACAAGAGGAAAGGAGGAACAAGAGGACTTTTCGATTCATCAGGGCACTGGTGATGGCAGGTACCACTTTTTAATCATCACTTTCCACCTCCACAAAAAAAGCTGGTGGTGGGACTGGCAACCTGCTCACCAGCACCCCTCCCCACCCTCCCCACTCGAGCCCTATCTCAGGTCACTGGAGGTGCTCCAGCCTCCCTCTGGACGAGGGCAGCTCCCTACCCAAGGCAGGCCCCCTCAGAGTCACTGAAGCTGAGAGAGCCACCCTCTCTCAGCTTCATCCTGAGATGAAGGGATGAAGGGGCTTCATCCCTGGAGTGTGGATTCAGACTCAGAGCTTTTGACCAGGGAAGACACGGGCCCAGAAAGGACTTGTTGAGGTCACAGAGCTTGTGGGTGTCAGAGCTAAAAGTAACCCCAGGTGTCCTAAGGCCAGGGTTATTTCCCCACACACACACACACACACACACACACACACACTGCCATTCTGCGTGGAAGTCTTTTGGGGAAGCTGTCATTATTCCAATGTTGCTCCCTTAATAGTCAGTGAACATCTCACAAAAGACCTGTGGGAAGTCGTCTGATCCTACGTTAGGAACGACCCCTACCCCACCACTGAAGGGAAAGAGAATCAAAACAGTGCCTGCTCTTTTCTTGTATTTGCATAAAATCTCCAGAAGGAACTGGTATATTTGTTACCTTCAAGGAGGAGACTAGATGGCCCAGGGGTGGACTGACTTTTGTACCACTTGATATTGAGCCGTGTGAACACACAGCCTATTCAAAATAAATATCTTTTTTAAAATACTCTTCCCTGAAGCCCCAGGCTGGGAGTCAGGACTCCTGGGATCTGGTCCCACCTCTCCACATACTGACTGTCACTTTAGGCAACTCAGGTAATCATCTCTCTACACCATTTCCTCCGCTGTAAAACACGAGTGGGCTGAACAAGTCATCTGCGAGGCTCCTCTCAGCTCCAGAGGGCTACGATTCTAGACTCCCCAGCTACATTCTAAAATCCATGAGGGGAGGGATGGGACAATTTTGGAGCCTTTTGAAAAAGTCTCTTTGTAAACCTTGGCCGAGGGGCCTTTTGCTCACCCAGCTAGAAGCCACTCCCTCCCTGGGACCCAGGTCTTCAGACCAAGCTGGCCAGGACTGTTCCGAGAGTCAGGAGGACAGGAGATGCTGAAGAGGAGCGTGGTCAACAGAACTCGGCTTTCAGAGACATATGGACCTGGCTTCAAATCCTGGGTGACCTTGAGCTATAGTCCCTTAACCTCTGAGCCTAAATTTCCTCCTCTATAAAATAAGAATGCCAACTTCACAGGTTAAGAGGATTACATGAGATAACATGAAAAGCACCCGGCACGAAGAAGGCATTCAACAAATGTTTGTTAGCTCGCTTCCTTCCTCCCTCCCTTCATCAGAGCAGCTGGGACACAGAGGAGGCTGGGTTAGTTCGCATGTTTTGTCTTTAAGTTGGTTCTAGCAATGCTGTTGCTATAGATCCAAAACTGTATGTAGGCTGCTCACACCACCGGAGTGGAAAAAAACCCCACCTAACTTTGCCAGCTTAGGACTTCAGGGGGCTTATCTTTCATTTGTCTGCATGGGGAAAACAATGCCAAGTGGCCTTTGGGAAATGGCCCAGTAAGTCCCCAGCTGGTAGGTGGAGGAGGAGGGAGGGGGACGAAGGGAGAGATGGAGGATGTCAGCACTTCCCAGGACTGGCAGCAGGGGACAGGGAGCTCTGGGGGGTACAGGGATGGGGTAAGGGCTCTGCACCTGTAGGGAACTCAGCTACTTTCTCCAGGACCCCAGGTACTTAAAGGTCTCTGAGCCTTGGTTTTCTCACCCATAGAAATGAACTGAAAATCTCCACATCATAGGATTGTTGTGGTGATTAGATCAGATACCTGGTTATGTGAATAATAATTTTTCTTCTCCCCTTAAGAGGAAGGAGGCAAAAGCCTTCAAAGAGGAGACACATTCACACAACTGCCTTATAGAAAATGGACCTGCAGAGATTTAATTGATATAGAAAACACAGGATTGTCACCAGAGTTGGCTGTAACATGTGAGCTATTCCCAAAGCACACAGAATGAGCCAAATAATAAAATGGACTTTTTTTTGTTGGCTAATGTGACTGATGCCTAAAAAGTATCTGGGGGGGTAGAAAAGCCAACTGGATCTTAATGACAAAGAAATGAGTGGTGGGATGGTGGAGAGTTGGTTTCTCTGCATTGGAGAGGCAAGGGCAACCCCATAGCTTTCAAGACAAAAAAAATGGGGGCATTTTATTTAAACAATGGGACAGCTGTCAGAGAACAGCCCCTGCAACCCCCTCAGGGGCCCGCTGATGGGAGGCGGGACTGCAGGGAGCCGTGCCAGAATGGCAGCAGCTCCAAATGGCACAGGATCCCTCAGCTCCTTCAGAATGAGTCTCCAGGCTCTGGGAAGGGGCGGCAGTGGATGGGGCTGGGGGTGGCACAGGTAGAAAAGATGGCTGGAAACAGAATCCATGAACAGACCTGAGGTGGGCCAGGAAGAGAAAATAAGCTGAGGACCAGAAGCCATCCTAGCCTTTTCCTAGGGCTTGTTGGCTTTCTGAAAGTTGTGTGGTGAGACCTGAGACTCTAGCTGGGATGGCTCTGGGGAGGGGCCCCGGGGAAGGAGAAGGGGAAGGGAGAGCCCCTGAGGAAGCATAGTGCCAGCACAGGGAAGAGAGGCAGCAAAACTTCTGGGGCCCAGCCTCCAGCAACCTCTTGCAGGGCTCCTGAAAAGGGGACATTAAAAGAAAAAGAAGGAAAGGTCTGATCTCTACGAGGCTGAGGTATTAGACAGAGCCTGGTCCCAGGGTACAGACATGCCGGGGGCTTTGTTCTGGTGAATTAAGGACCATACCCATAACTGTGGGAGCCTCCAGCAGTGTCAGCTCCAAAGGGAGTCCGTTGGCCTTTGACAGCAGCTCCTCTGATACCCACCCCTTTCTCCTGAAGGTGCCCATGTCCCTGATGCCCCTCAGCTGCCCCACATCATCAGTGTTGCCACGTCCATGCAGGAGCTCACAGAAGTCCACACATTTCAGCCTGAGAAACATTACGTGGTCACAGAGGGGGCGGCTTACTGTTTCCAGTCGGACCATCCTTTTCACCCATCCCCCATGGTTCCAAGTTCTGAGTGGGGAAAGCAGCAAAGGCGGGCCAGGAGAATGCTTTAGCAGAGGGAATAAAGTGCAGGCAGCTCCTCAGGCACTTGGTCTGGAGGCAGGAGAGGCCGGTGCCCCAGACGCCACTGCTCTGGGCCTCAATAGTGATGATACAACTTCAGTCTGTTGTTCTCATCCAGGCCCAGCTGCAGGAGGCCCAGAGGGGCTGTTGGCTTGGGCATCGAGGAGAAGAGATGTCTGGCCACGAGGTGAAGGAAAACTCTGCAGTCAGCTGAGCACATCCAGAGAAGGGCCATGGAAGAGGCAAAGGCCAGAGTGTCCTCCAGGACACAAACACAAGCCCTGTAGCCCAGCTCAGCCAGCCTAGAGGCCGCAGCAGGAAGTAATGGGGTTTGGGAACTGGCTAAAAGGATACGACTTGGGGTCGTTCTTGTAACGTTCTAGCCACTTTCGGTTAGCCTCGATCATGCCCTGAAAGTTGTTGCTGCCTGCCTCGGGGACTTGAGGATGGAGAGAGGAACGCTGCAGGAGGCGGAGCTGCTCACTAGGAAGAAGGACAGCACAGGGAGAGGAAGAGAGGAGGAAGGGGATGTGCGGTAGAGCCCACCGGAGGCCATCATGTCTGCCTCCTCGCTCTTCTCTCAACATACCAGCTGCAGCCTTTTCAGAGTCCCTTTACCAATTCAAAGCTTCCTCTATTGGCAAGAATGCCCCTCTGAAATGATGAGCATCAGTTCCCAAAAGGGAGGGTGGGGGACCCTCCCCAACCTTCCAGGGTGAGTACTCCTGCCATTAAGGCTTTAGACTCCCACATCTGCCTAGTCCCAGCCAACATCATCAGCAAAAACTCTCCCCTCTCGACTCAGACACCTGCCAGCATTGGCTCCCAACCTGGCCAAAGGGGTGAGTGGCGGGGGTACTTATGGCTGGGGGCCTGTGGGGAGGGGGACATATCTGGCAAGGAATAAGATAAATGTGAAATTAATAACAGGTTTAAATAATTGCCCATCTGTCTCCCCCACGGGGCACCCCTCTCACTCCAGATGTTGCTCAGCAGGACTAGGGGGAGAAGGGAGCCAGATGAAGCAGACAAAGAGCTCAATGGCAAAGACAAAAGCCACACTCCAGGGCCGGAGGGTGCAGTGGGAGGGCAGGGTGCAGGGTCCTGCCAGGGGCTGATTTCTCCCCGTGGGTGCCACAGGGCAGCTTCCTGATGGAGCTGGGCCAGGTAAGCCCAGCCCCACCCCCACTGGGACATGGGCAGTTTGGACTCTCCTCTGGTTGTGGAGAAGCACCTCAGACCCAGGCAGCTTTGTGGTCTGGAGCCTAACCGACCTCTCTGGGCAACTTGACCCAGAGTCCCGCTCCCCACTCAGAGGTGCCACCCGCCCAGGGAGGTGCAGCTGAACTCTGTGGCTGACCTCGAGCCCACAAGGAGGCTTACCTGGCAGACACGTAACCCAGCCTGTTCTCCAGGGGGGTAGGGCCGCTGCTGAGGAACGGGATGCCAGCTGGAAAAGTGGGAAGAAATTGTTCAGAAATAGGCAGTGGTTCAGCTCAGCCAGACCCCGGCCAGAGCAGACCGCCTCCCTGCTCACCAGTACCTCCTGCCTCCCCAGAAACTGGAAAGGCGGTGCTCCCCAAAACAGGGAAAATTTCAGGGCTTGGAGATGAGAGACAGATGACAGACTGAAATTGTCCTATTTTATTCCTAAAACTTAATCTACTTTCCTACTTGGGTTATTAGGCTAGGGAGAAGACATGTAACTTTTTCCCTCAAAAAAATAACTGTTTTTATGGCTTTTCACACTCTTCAGCAGGGCTATGAAACCAGGTGAGGCCACCTGGCCCAGAAGCAGGGGGAAACCATATGGCCAAGGGGTTACAAGCAGAATCCTGGAGTCACAGAAACACGGGGTCAAAACCTAGTCTGTTACTTACTCGCTGGGTACCCTGGAGCATGTCACTTAACCTCTCTGAGTCTCAGTGTCCTCTTCTGTAAAGTGGGATAAATAATTACTACCTCAGAGGGTTATAAGGACCAAATGAAAAACTGTATATAAAATGCCTGGCCCATAATATAATGCACAAGATGATAGCTATTATGATGACAACAACGATGATCTTGCAGGTTCTGCAGAGCTCTAGAATCCATAGTAAAGGCCCCAGTCAGCCCAAGCTCCAGGTAAACACACAGAGCCTCTGGGGCAGGGCAACCAGCAAGTTTTCTTCGCAGGGACCCACAGACAGAATCAATGGACCATGCCAAAGTTGGGAGGCGAGGGATAGGCGAAGGAGGAAGGGAGAAAAAGAAAGAGGAGAAAGAGGGAAGAAGAAAAGGAAGGAAGATGAGGAGGAAGGTGGGGAGGCACAGTCCAGAGGAGGCGTACTTGGAAAATACTTGCGCCACTTCTCCACCAGGAAATCGTCCACTGTTTGAGCCACGGAGGAGGAGAGCCTGGGGCCCAGCCCCGGGTCCCAGGCCCACCGGGTGGACGTGGGTGTAGCAGGGAAGGAGGCTGAGACCCGGGAGGGGGAGGTGGGAATGGGGATGCTCCTAGAGGACCAGGGAGGGATCTGCACTGGTGCGGAAGTGACAAGCGGTGGTGGTGGCTGAGTGCTGAGGCTGCCCAGCATGCTGAGGACGCCGTTGAGCTGGCTGCTGATCCGCTGCAGGGAGCTGCTCAAGTAGTGGATCTTGTTGGGGAAGGTGGGACCTGGGGTCGGGGTGACTGAAAGGGAAGAGACAGATGGTACGAAGGACTCAGGTTCAGGGCCCTGAGATAACCCCAGGCCCAGCTGGCACTATGGCACCCTACTGGCACACCCCTCCCTGTTGCTCCAGACAACAGCCCCTCAGCCTTGATCAGGGGCGTTGGCAGGGCTTCTGTGTTCCAGACAGTGCAGACAGGAAGCTGGCTGTGAGAAAGAGGCTCTCCAGGGCGAGACCCTGGGGAAGGAAGGGGAGAGGGCCCTCTGCCCTTTGTAGGCCAGAGCGGCAGAGGAAGAACAGCCTCCCAGGGACACCTCTCACTGTCAAGTGCTCTGCACGTTCAGAAGGCTCTCCCTGACCCTTCCATCCCCGCGTGTTGCAAGCCCAGATGGGTTCACTCCTTCCCCAGCATTTACTGAGCACCTGCTCCAGACACTGGCTCCCAGAGGCTCACCTGGGCAGGGCTGAGGGAAAGGGGCTGCACCTCTGCTCCCCAAGTCCCTCCCTCTCCACGGATCCTGTGGTCCTCCCCCTGCCTCCCCTTCCTCTCTTCCCTGCTGCCACCACCACTCACTGTGAGGTAGGGGGCAGGATTCAGAACTTTCGCTGCTCGTGTCTTCCATGTCACTGAGGTCAAAGGTCACCACCTTCTTGGTGGGGACTCCTCTCAGAGTGTCCTCATCTGAAGCCTGCGGGTAGAAGCAGCGGTTATTACTGGCACTCGCCTTTGTGGTGTTTGGGGACTGAGGACTTGGTGGGCAGGCTCTCTGGGACCCACAGTGCTGGGAGAGGCACATCACGCAGGCTGCCTTGCAGGCGGGTGGGAGGGAGGCAAGGCTAAGGGAACTCAACTGCCTGAGATAGAGGTAAGAGGGCCACGGGACCAGACAGATGCCCACCCTTCCCCCCAGCAGACTCTCCCTGCAGTGTCTGTCCACCTAAGCTTCCTTCCTTCCACACCCAGGCCTCAGGCATCCAGAGGAAAGTCTACAAGGCCAGGCAAGGTAGGGACACCTCCTAGATAAGTCTATTCCTGACACCCTGGGTACACCTCTCTGCAGCTACCATAGCAAGGGAAGGGCAGGGGCTAGTCTCTCTCTCAGGAATCTTCAGCAAGAGGCTACAGGTCTGCTCAGGACCACTCAGCACAGATACCCAAACCCACAGATGTGTTTAACAAACACCAAGCCGTTTCCACCAGCCCTATGCCTACTGCCAGTCCTGGGCCCTAGAGGCCCAGCTCCCCTTGACACAGGACCAAAGAACCCAACTGAATACCAGGAACAGAAGAGGGAGGCCATGGCCACACTGGGCTATGTGGCCACAGGGCTGTACCTCTTCCCGGAGAGAGGACTCGAGCTGATTCAGCTTCTCCTCTTTCTTCTTCAACAAGTCGTGGCCTTTCCGCATGGCCGACTTCATCTCATCCAGGTGCCTGGTCTCCTGTAGCCAGGGAGGAGAAATGTGGTGACTTAGCACACAGGTGCTGGAGTCCAGCTCTGCCCTTTGCTCGCTGGGTGATCTTGAAGAAATTACTTAACTCTGTCTCGATTCTCATCTAAACAAGAGAAATACTACTTTCACAGAGTCGTGAAAATTAAATGAGATAGAGTTACATGCTTAGCACCATGCCCATACCTAATAAATTCTCAAATGGTTCCTGTTAGCCAATGGTTATCATCACCACTCTAACTACCACCACTATTGCCATCATTGTCGGGAGAGATTCAGCAAAGCAATGACAGGGCCTGGGGCAGCGTGTACATACCCCTGGGAAGCCTGCTCCTCTGTACCAGCCTCTTGCCCTCTGCTGCCCCAAAGCCAGGCTTAGGGGCCACAGGGGCCTGAGCTCCCTCACCAGCTCTGGGCATTGTCAGAATTCTAACAGAGCAGGCATGGTCTTCTGCTAGGACCCTCAAATGGCACAAGAATCTGTGATCCCAACTAATAATAATGAAGTCTCTGCCTTTTCATTGCAAATTAGGGTATCAAAGAGTAAAACAGAGAAGTAACTCAGTGTTATGCCAAGTGTGCTCAAAAGATTTTTCACTCACAGATGAAGTCTTTAGTGTGACGAAAGGACAAGCAAAGCATTGGATGTGAAATTTTAAAAACTTTACTTATACTCTTCACCTAGAAAATGGGAATGACACTATTACCTTGCACATCATCTGTGGTTATTGTGAGGACCAAAAGATCTACTATTAGAAAGCATTTTGCACACTGTGCATGCCATGTAACTGTAAGATGCTTTCATCTTCATGGAGATACATAACTAGCATCACCTGTCCAGTCTCCCCAGGGCCCATGTGACCACTCTCATGGCGTCCCCAGAATGATCAATTGAGGGCAAGCCCAAAGGCGAGTGTTACCCTGGCTCCCCGCAAGTCCCCACCCCCCCCACCCCCGCTCAGCACAGGGCTGGCAGGCTCTCCTCCAGGCTCCCAACCTCCTCCAGGTCCTTGCGCATGTCTTCCAGGGCCTTGGTGCCTGGCGGGTCTTTGGCTGCCTCCTGAGCACTGGCCAGCTCATGGCGCCAGTGCTGCTGGGCGGCTTTCAGAGCCGTCTGCCGCCTCCGCATGGAGCGTGTCTGCCGCACCAGGAACTCCTTGGCACTACGGAGGGCTATCCCCTCAGCAGAGAGGTAGTGCCGGACGCTGTGAAGGACAGGCCAGGGCAGGGGAGGTGGAGATGGAAAACAGAGACTCTGAGAACCCTTGCTGTGGATCACTTGACCATTTCCCCAGCAGACGCCCACCCTGAACTCAGGCTGCTGGGCTGGGGCTGAGGCTGGGCTGTGTGTAGGGGTACCCCCACTAAATACCTACAGGGTGCGGCATGTTGCACTGAGTCCTCCCACTCTGACTCTGAAAGGGATCGTGCCTGAGGCCTCTGGACAGATGGCCAGACACTCCCAGTCTGATCCTCAACCTGAGGTCAGCAGATGCCAGCATGCTGTGTCAACGGTCACAGTGGGCAGCTTCTTGGCTTGCCAGAGAAGATTCCTCAGTCTCCCGGGACCCCTTCCCCGAACCAAGCCCCACTGGTGATCCCTGTCACCTCATTTCAGCTCGCCCAAGCTCTGTGATGCTGGCACTCACTCACCCCTTCATGGCATCCTCAACCCAAAATAAGACAAGCTATGGGAGCTCACCTGTCCAAGGACAACTCGGTCTCCTCCTTGCTCTGGGAGAGAGAAGAGGATAACTTTTTGGTCTGGTTCTAAGGACACACAGTAGAAAAGACCCACTGAAGGCAATAAAAGCAGATACACTGCAGGCTTAAGGGACCCCGAGGCCCCTCCCCGTGGCCTAGACACAAATGGCTCTGCCAGCTGCTGGGCACTACTCACTTATAGATATCATTTGACTGACAGAGATGGGGGACTAGGAATTATAAGAACAGAAGGCTAAGGTCCTATATAGAGCAGAGCCAGGACCCTTCCTGGTGCCCCGCCCCCTCCTCATGCCCCACCCTCTCCTGATACCCCACCTCTCCTGGCGCCCCTCCCCTCCCGGCGCCATGCCCCAGCCCAGCCATCCTGTCCTCTCCAAGGCAGAGAAGCTCACTGTCCCAAGGGATTTCCTCAGGTCCTCAATGTGGAGATCTGGCTCAAAACGTGCAGAAGCATTACTCTCCTCAACTGCCAGCTCTTTCAACGTGTCCTGCCTCCTCTGAGCTTCAGCCTCCAGGTCGCTGTGGTGGGAAAGGGGAGTGGGAGGTTGGGAGGGGGCCGTGAGGCAGGGTCACATGATAAAGCAGGCCAGGCAGCACGCTGTTGGGACTCCTTGGGTGGGCTTCAAGCCTCAACCTTAGGGAGACAGTGGGACCATCTCCATCCCTTCACTCCTGTCAAAGTCCCTGAGGCAGGGCTGAGGCATGATGGTAGAACAAGGGACCCCCAGCTTTTCATAGCCTCTTTTTTTTTTTTAATTTTTATTTATTTATTTTTTGCCCCCAAAGCCCCAGTAGATAGTTGTATGTCATAGATGCACATCCTTCTAGTTGCTGTACGTGGGATGCGGCCTCAGCATGGCTGGAGAAGCGGTGCGTCGGTGCGTGCCCGGGATCCGAACCCGGGCCACCAGCAGCAGAGCGCACACACTGACCACTAAGCCATGGGGCTGGCCCTTCATAGCCTCTTAACATCCCCCACTCCCTACAAAATACAGCAGACACAGCCCCTCTGCCTGGCTCCACCTCTGCCTGTTAACTGGGCCATGATTAGACAGGACCCGTGAGCAGCAGAGGTCAGAGGGCCAGCGAAAGGCAGTGGGGGTGGCTACGTGTAGTGTGCCCACGCCACCTGATGCGTTTCTGCAGCCTCTGACTCTGGGTCTGCAGCAGATCCACCTGGGACTCCAACTCTAACTTGCGGGCCCGAAGCTCATCGAGAATTCTTCGGAGCTGCCGGTTTGACTCCAACAGGTGGGTGTGCTCCTTCTTTGCCTCCTCCAGGTGCTGATGGGTGGCTGTGGCTTCCTGGGGCAGAAGAAAAGATAGAAGCACCTGGAGACTCAGCAGGGAGAAGGCAGGAAGCAGGCAGCACTAGAGCACAGGGAAGCCCGAAGAGCCCGGGAGAGGTGTGCAGGCTCCTGTCCTCCCATATCCCGGCTCCCTGAGGGTCCGAGCTGGGCTGCACACAGTGGTGCTATCTGTGGAATACTGGCCACCACAGTTTGGAAGCCCAATGCCCTGGAGAGACCAGGTGAACAAAAGAAGGGGTATGGGGGGCGGGGAGAGGGAAGGGAGGAAAGGGAATAGGGGAGACAACGGAGGGAGGACAAGAGGCAGACAAACCTCGCTCTCCAGGGCAACCTTTCTCTGCACATCAAGGAGCTGCTGCTTCTCCTTCCGGGCAGTCTCCTCCTGGGGGGAAGGAAAGAAACAGGGTCCTCCGCCTGCATCTCCAGGCCCCAGGTCTAAGGGGCAGGAAGGCCCACCATCTCCTGGGGGAGCTATAACTCCAATGTCCTGGGACCTGGAGATCCTGTTCTCCACGCCACTCCCTCACCTGGATGTCCAGCTGAGTCAATCTGGCCTTGACATCTTTGGTTCTGGTTTCAAGTTCCACCTCTAAATCTTGGAGTTTCCTTTCCTGCACAGAAATGTAGGTGGAGAGGAAGATGTACGTGTAGACAGAGTGCACGGCATCAGCTGAGGGGGCAGGAGGGGTTCCTGACCCATCACACCACACCATGCCCTCCACGCTGGGCCCGGGCTTCCTCCCATGTGCCTCCTGGGAAAGCACCACACTTGCTGATTTCCACTGGGGGCAAGGAGAAGTAAAGCCGCCAACCCCAAGGCCCAAGAGGGGCTGACCTCCTCTTCTGAGGGCCTGGGGATGTTCCATGGCCCAGAAAACAAGGGAGCAACGATACCCCAGCTTCGGGATGGCCAATGAGACAGCCCCACTCCTAAAGCTCTCAGGCTCCGTCCTGCTGCTCCTGGCACTCTTCTACCCTGTGTGGAGGTGTCGGGGTGGGTGGGCCCCAAGTGCCCACCCAGAACCCCCACCTGCTCCCGGTGCCGACGCCGCAAGTCCTCGAGCTGCCTGTCCTGCTCCTGCCTCATGGTCTCCAATTCTCGCTCGTGGGCCCTTCGCAGGCGCTCCAGCTCTCCAGTCAGGTGCCCCAGGAGTTCAGCCCGCTGCTTCCTCTCCTGCACGGAGGGTGGGAAACTGCAGCAGCCCTGCCTACCTCTGCAGCCTTGGGTCAGTAAGATCAGGGACCCCATCAGCTCCCTAAGGCCAGCTCTTAGAAGACGGCATTGAGAAAGGCATGGTCCTATCCCCCAGAAAGCCTGCACCCCGACTCTGCCGCTGAAGCAGACGCTGGTCAGATGTCCTGATAAAATCCCCCCCCGGAGCCTGCCTCTCCTACTGCTCCAACACGCACAGCTTTCCTTCCTTGAGGGCAGAGAGGTCACTAATAAGGCATCACTATTCTTCAGCAAGGTCAGAATTGGTTTGGGAAGGGAGTCAACTACATTTCATCACAGGCCCTCTATTTCTGCCCTGGGAAAGACTACAAAGAGTCCGGGGTACAGGTTCCAGTTACTGGAGCAGTAGCCTAGAAATCCGGGCAGAGGCCCAGCTGTGGGCTAAAGTCAGCCCCACCCCCCCGCCGCCCACAGCATTGTTCACCCCCAACACAAGCAAGCCAAGGGGCGTGGGGGGCCCTTCAGTAACTGACCTAGCCGGCCTAAGGCCAAACGCTGAGGATGGGCAGGTAATCACTATCTAAATGCCGTCTGGCTCTTGCTGGTCTATTTCTCGGTGTCCTGGAATTTCGATTAACCCTGGTGTTGGGTGGGTAAAACTGAAAGCTTTGGAGTCAGACAGTCTGGGCTTGAATCCTAGCCCCTCTACTTACTAGCAGGGTGGGCCTGGGAAAGTTGCCTACACTCCCCAAGTCTCAGTTTCCTCATTTTTAAAATGGAGATAATGATAGTTTGTCCCTCCTAAGGGTATTGTGAGGACTGAATGAATTAACATACACACAGAGCTTAGAACAGTGCCTTGCCCACAGCCGGAGCTCGGTACATGTTAGCTAGTGCTGCCACGAGAGGGAAGTGCAGCCTGCCTGATGGAATCGCTCCTCACCTAACGCTTTAGTAAAAAGGCAAAACACGAGTTCACCATTGCAGGGTGCCAGGGAAGAAAGCCTCCCACAATCCCTGACCACAGTTTGCACAGTTTGTCCCCTCCCCCTGTCCTCCAGCCAGCTGGGAAGGGCCCCAGGCGAGTGTGTGTGTTATGTGTGCACGCTCCAGGGGATGTGACCGACTCACCTCGGCTTCATACTGCTCTCTGGCCTCAGCCATGGCTTGCCGGTGCTCCTCCTTCATCCTGTCCAGCTTCCTCTCGTGTTCCCTTTCCACCTCCTGGCGCTTCTCCCTCAGGAGGCCACTGAGCTGCAGAGCAGGCAGCAGGGATGCACATGCAGGACTGAGGGTGGACCAGCACTCGGGGACTGAAGCACGTGAAGGTCTCATACACACGTGCAACATACAGCTCCCCAACGTCCCCCACACGCACACAACTACACATCACACGTACGTGACAGGTGACATACACACAGCCATACCCCAGTACCCCCTCCCCACACACGTACAGGAGCGTGGGGGTGGAGAAGCACCTGGCCCCGAGGGAATAAGACCTAAAAATGGAACCAGAGTTCTAACCCCAGCTGAGCCATCCAAAGCAAAGCAGAGGGCCCTTGGGCCAGGATGGCTCAGCTGACTGTCACAGCATCCACGACAGACACGCAGCGCTGAGGAAGCAGACCAGCATTCACCTCTTGCTCATACTCAAGCACTTGGTGAACTTTCTGATGAGCTCTCTGCTCCGCCCGCCCAAGGCTCTCCTGCAGCTGGGCCTCCTCTTTCTGTTGAGCTTCCTCCATCTTCTTCTGGAGGCTGGAGACCACCTGAGGAGGCCCCAGCACAAGGGAATGTGACCCTCAGAGAGCACTGCAGAGCAGCCACGCGGGACTCACTTCCCAGGGACCCGGCGCCCACCCCCCGGGGCTGCGGGGAGATTGAGCTCCCTCCCTAGTAGCAGGGATGGGGTTGAGTTCTTCTGCTGACCAGCAGTGAACTGTGGGTTATGCTAAGGGAGCAAGAGCACAAGCTCTGTCTCTCAGGCCAGGGCCAGATGCACCTCACCTCTCTGTGCTTGGCTTCCAATGAGGAAGAGAGCCGTTCCAGCTCAGCTCTGTGCTCCCTCTCCAGTGCCGCCACCGCCTGGGGAGCAACAAAGGGCCCATGAGGGATGCAGGGCAGGAAAGGCTGGCCAGGCACTGACCCTGGTGTAAGGAAGAGCCAGGAAGACTGTCCTCCGCTCCCTCAAGCTAAGGCACCAAGGGGAACCACAGACACGTCCTTGTTCCTCTGAAACAACTCAGTCCCTAAAGTCTGCAACTAGCAAATGAACAGGAACATGAAGGCCTGAGTGGAGGGGCGTTTCAGGAAGCCTCAGGTCACTGCTTCCATCCCCCTGCCTCTGGGCCAGGCCACAGGTACACAAGTGACACCCATGCCTATGAATCAGGCCGGGGGCTGGGAGGGCTGGACATTTAGCACAATCTCCCTGAGCACTCGCAGTATGAGGAAGTTCTTCCCACACCTTGTCCAAGAGCTGAAGCTCCGCCCTTCACCAAAAGGAAACAAAAGCTCCACGTGGCCTGTTACTTACTTCTGCCTCTTACCCAGAGACAGACCATCGGACTGGAGGGACAGGGAGGAAGGACAAAGGAGAAAAATCTCCTCTCAGTGTGCTAACCTCTCAAAGACAGGAGAGAAAAGGAGAGAGATGAGAGGTCACCACAGCTGCCCCTCGGGGACAGGGACAGGGCACCTTTGTCTCAGGACCTCTGGTCTGGTTTAAGTTCTTTCAGCCATGAAATCTTCCCAAATCTACAGGACATTTCCCCTCAAACCTCTTCACTGCCACTGACAAGACCCAGCTGCTGCTGGCCCAGCGGGCCTGGGGGGGAGCCTCTGACACCTGCAGTACCCTCCGCTCTGCCAGGAGACCAGGGCGAGCACCCGCCCTGAGACGGTTAGGTCCACACGTAGCAATGGGCCCAGACAGCAAGCCCACTGTCCCCCATGCCCATCTGTGCATACACCTGCTCTCCACCTGGCTCCCCATGCTGCGGGCCCGAGGCTGGCCCTTCCTCTTCCTCCACACTCAGTCCTTCCCCAGGCAGCCCAGGGACCTGTCCGAGGGGGAGGTCCCCACTCTGCTTGCTCACTCCTTTCCTCTCCCCTTCCAGCTGCTCCCTCAGCTGCTGCAAAGCCTGCTCCTTCTCAGCGTTCAGGGCAGCCTGCTCTCTCTTCTCTGAAGCCTCCATCTCTTCCTTGAGCTGCTCCAGCATCTGCCTGTTTCTCTGCTCCAAGTTGGCCCTCTCGACCTTCTGCAGAGACTCCAACTCTTCTCTCAGCCTCTGCAGGGAAGCCTCTTGCTCGGCCCTGGGCAGACAGAAGGGAACAGGAACGGGCTGTGCAGTCGGGGGGCGCCTCCATGGGGCTGCGTGGCTCACAGCGAGTACTCACCGCATTTGGACTTCATCTGCTTCTGTGCTGGACTGGACCTGGGCCCGGAGCCGCAACAGCCTCTGGCTTTCCTCTTCTCTCATCCGAGTCTCCTCTTCCTCAGTGGCTCTCTGCAGCTGCTCCTTCAGGGAACTGGGAAGGAAAAGGAAAGTTTGTTGGAGAAACCACAAGGTATTCCCTCTTCTATCTGTAATCCCTGGCTCTTGGCCTCCAAAAGCCTGAAGCCTGCCTGTGAGGCCTCCTAAATCTTCAAGACAAGTCTAACCTCAGCCTCTAGGTCCTGCTGCCTCCCTATAATACCTCTCAGGGTAAAGGGGGGGCCATGAGCTCCACCTGCCCTCGGCCACAAGAAGCAGATTACAGGCTGCTTGATCCCAGAACAGCATTTCTTCCAAAGGCTCCCCTCTGGCTACAGGTCCACCTCGGCATGGCATTCACTCAAGGATTGGGATACAGTCGACCCCAATCTGACTCTGGTTCCATAGCCTTTCACTCCCCACCCAACAGACTGCTCTAGCCCCATCAGATGACCACCATCTCTAATCCACACACTCTTCCTGGCCTCCTGGCCTTTGTTCATGCTGGTTCCTCCACCTAGAATTTTCTTCTCTACTTGACGAGCCCATATTCATTGTTCAACACTTGGCTCCCTCCTCTCAGAGAAGGCTTTCCGGCTCCCTCCAAGTTCATCAATTAGCCTTTCTGTTCCCATCACACTTTTTATGGCGATCTTTCTTATCCCATGACATTCTGTACCATGCATCATACTGCATCATAATTAATCTTTTGTATGTCTATTTTCCTTACAAGTCTTGGAGCTTCTCTAGAGAAATAACCTTGTCTTAAAATCTGTTATATCTCAGGTGCCAAACACAGTAACTGACATGAAACAGGTGCTCAATAAATGTCGTTGAATTTGAACAGTATCACCCAGCCCTAAACGATAAGCAAGCTTTGATGATCTGTGAGGCTGTCTTATTCATAGACCAATGATGGCAACCATTTCATCCCAAGCCGACATCCTCCCGCTGCCACACACCACATCCTCCTCACGCAGCCCCACACGGCCAGGGGCTGTGTGCTGTGCACTCAGGGAGCTCAAGCCTAAGAAAAACATGATGCAGAAGACAATTTCTTTGGAAAGCTTCTGTAGTGAATTCCTAAGCCAGAAAAGATTTAGGATCATTTTCTATTTCAAGTTATCAGCATCACTGCTCTCTTCCATTATGCCAGAAAATTTGCGTTAAGTAAAAATCCTTCTTTCTAGCTTCCCCAGAAACGCTTTCTCTTTGTCCTATGGCTAAATTTTACACATCGAACCACAGAAGGTTAGAGCTGGAAGGGGTTTTAGAGGTTAAGTCCTTCATTTTACAACTCTCTTCATCTTACAACTGAACTCAATCTCTTCATTTTACAATTAAAGATACTAGGGGTCAGGCTGCCTGTCTTCCTGCCCACCTTCTCATTCAAGAAATATTTGCTACAAGGTCAGCTGTGGCTTCCAGAAATTTCTACCAAGTGGAAGTTTCCCAGCAGAGAGGAGGCTCAGAAAGGCTCCCCTTTCCCACTCCTCAGAAAGGCTAGTGTGGGGCCAGCCCAGTGGCATAGTGGTTAAGTTCACGCATTCCGTTTCGGCAGCCCGGGTTTTGCCAGTTTGGATCCCAGGCACGGACCTACTCACTGCTCATCAGGCCACACTGAGGCAGCGGCCCACATAGAAGAACCAGAACAATGTACCACTAGGATATACAACTATGTACTGGGGCTTTGGGGAGAAAAAAGGAAAAAAAGAGGAAGATTGGCAACAGATGTTAGCTCAGGGCCAATCTTCGTTAAAAAAAAAAAAAAGAAAAGAAAAGAAAGCAAGGCTCGTGTATAAACAGAAACAGGGTTCTCATGACAAACTATTTCCAAGAGAGCCAGGCAAGGCACTGCCCATAGAGAAATCACTTAATCAAGACCCCTGAAACTACTGATTTCAACTTGGAAAAAAAAAAAAAAACAAGAGCGACCATTTATTGAGCAACCACTATGTTTGAGGCCCTGAGTCAGATACTTTGGGCATGCTAGTCTTCACCACAACCTAAGACGCCCCTCTGGAGTTGGGGGGTTTGAGGAGTGATAGAAAGCACTGTCAGTCGAGCCCAGGGTGGCTAGGAAGAGAGAGGAGCCTGGTGGGCTGGCAAGGAAACACCACCAGGATTTTCTCTCAGGCACTGCCTCTCAAGGTAAGCTGTCACACCCTATTTGGATGGACCCTGCCCCAATTTTCAGTTGGCTGAGAGAAGGGATCCTGTGGGAAGATCTGTTCTTTGGGATGCTCCCTGGCCGGAGACCCAAGAGGGGTGATATAAGGATGGACCTGGGTCAGTGGACCTTGTGTTGGGCTAATAAGAGATTGCCCTGACCATCAGGGTACTGAGATGTTGGTTTTCTCTTGGTTTCTCTAAATTAAGCATAAACATCAGGGCGAATGTTCCTCAAGCAACAAGAGGAAGATTGGCAACAGATGTTAGCTCAGGGTGAATCTTCCTTAGCAAAAAATAAAAATAAAAAATAAAATAAATTAAGCATAAACATTTTATACAGTCTTGCTAGGTATGATATAAAAATAATAATTCTCTACCATTTCTGGAGGTTCTGTCCAAGAGGACAAGATTGCGTCTTCAGTTAAATTGCCAAATAAATGAAATAAGTTAACACCTTTTAGCATCTTCCCCATCCTGGGACTGTGACAGAGACTGCTAATTACCTTTTCAATATCCATCCTCCCATTTTTCCTTACTAACAGAACCCTGATTTTATTCTGTCAGGTAAAGAGGACCAGCTAAAGGACTACATTTCCCAGTCTCCTTTGCAACTAGGGGTAACCAATGAGATGTACGTGGAAATTATTGGGTAAAGTGTCCAGGAAAGCACCTTTAAAGGGACTGAACGAGCTAGAAGGTGCTCCACCATTTGTACTCCACCCTATTCTTCCTGCCTGGAGCACAGACACGATGGCTGGAGATCCAGCAGCTATACTGGATTGTGAAGAAACTCTGAGAGTAAAAGCCAGCACTAAAGATGGCAGAGATTAAAGGAGACCAGGGACCTGGTGACTCTGTGGAGCCAGGATGCCAGCCCTAGGCTGCCTTTTTTTATAAAAGTAAACCTCTAGTTCGTTTACACATGGACACACACAATCACATTCACACAGGCCCAGCCCAGGCTTAAGTTCTTGTTTGTCTAGAGCCTCCCAGCCACTCAAAGAGTAGGAACCCAAAGAGAAACTTCTGGGTCCTGGGCAAGAGCACCTCACACTGTATCATGTGGTCCCTACCAATCTCACTGCATCCCAAGAGGCCCTGATTCCCATGAGAATTAAGAAAATGGGCTCCGCAGACACCCTGCCTGGGTCAAGCGGGCTCTGCTGCTTATCAGCTTTGCGACCTTGGACAAGTTACTTAACCCTTCTGTGCCCCATTTCTTCGTCTATATTATAGAGTCTATAAAATGGGGTGGGTAACACCTCATAAGAGCCGCTCTGAGGACTAAACAAATTAATAGATATGAAGCACACGGATCAGTGTAATCTCTCAAAAAATGTTAGCTACTCCCATTATTATCATGCTTCCCAACTGCCCCCCAAAAAGAGGAAAGACATGAGCCTTGGCCAGGGAGCCCATGCCTCCCCACAGGCCACCGAGGAGTCGTCTCGGTGGGGCCACAGGCATCCCAGTGGTCCCTCACTCCCACGTGACTGCGAGGCCCCCGGCAGCTCGCCCAGGGGGAGGGGCAGGACCTGAGAGCCTTCTCTTTCTGCTGGCGAAGCTGCAGCATCTCCTCCTCCTCCTCCTGCCACAGCTTCTCCCGCAGCTGCTGCATCTTCTCTCGCTTCCATTCCAGGAGCCGCCTCTGGTCTTGCTCGAGTTCTTGGGCCACTGCCTCTTCCACAGCCTTCAGCGTGGCCTCTGAGAGCTGCTTTGGGGGAGCCACAGGCTCTGCAGATCGCCTACCAAGGTGGGGAACAGCATTTCACTAGTTTTAATATCCACCGACCTTTTGGCATCAGGGTTTATACAGACACAGAACAACACATACGGAACCCTAATGGAGGGCCCATGATCAGGAATCACATATGCAAATCAGGTGACCCAAAGGCAGGCAGTGAGTCTGCCCTCTGGAACATACAGGCTGCATTTGCTCTTAGGACAAGCCCCACTGTGGCTGTCTAAGGCCCCACGAGCCTAGGGAGAAGGGCAGCCCGTATCAGGCTCCCAGTAGACCCGGTAGGTTGTAGCCCAACCTGAAAACCTGAAGCTCGGGCTCAAGAGCTGGCAGCAGCAGGGAGAGAGTGAAGCTCTGTCCCTAACGGAGTCTTCCCGAGATTGGCTCATGACCCTGTTTCCGTCTCCCCACCAGGGCTCTGCCCGCACCTTGAGGCTCATGTTCACAGTTTGGGAAGTCCCCAGAGGCAGCTCTCTGCCTCCCAGACTGAACAGAGACCAATGCATATGAGGCAGCAGGAGAAGCAGCAGCATGTCTCCCAACCCTGAGACCTAAAATAGTCCATGGAGGTCCAGGAACGGGAAACCCCCCTCCCACACCGCCAAGGAAGCCAGGCAGGAGACCGTCCCTAAGCCAGAGAGAGTAGCAAGAGAGCAACAGGAATGCCACGCTCCATGTCTCCCCAGTGAGGCCACCCTTTCATCTGCTTAGAGCTAATTCCATGTTTGGAAATGGGTAAAGAAATCCAGAGCTAACCTGGATTCATAAGGTGAATGGTAAGATGAGGAATAATGGTACTGGTTAAAAAGATGTCTATAAGGTAAGGAAGGTTGGTATGTGGCTTGTATTCTGGTTCTTGAAGGAAATACCCAAAGAGAAACCTCAAGAACATTGGGAACAATGAAAACATAAGCAGGACAAAGTATTTCGCCTTCCAGAGTGGATTTCCTAAAGGCCATTACTTGTTTGCATTCCCAGGTCCCTACTCTTACGTTAGGAATGGGGCTCGCCACACAACCACCACCCTTCTCCCTCACTGCTCAGGCTGCGGCAGCCCTGGCACGGTGGCCCGGCTGACCTCAGCAGCATGTGTGCATGGCCCAAATCAAGGACTGGGGCAAGAGTTGAACAGGAGAGCCAGTCCCCCCTGTGGGGGATGCAGAACTCCCTCCTCCCTTCAGTGCCAGCACTGCAGCAGATGGAAGGCAGCAGGCAGGATCAGATGAGAACAGCAGAAGAAAACAAGGGCTTTGGAGTTCCATTTCAGCCCCTTGAGACCAGAGAGAGAAGGAAGACATAAAAGGCTACTAACGTGTCTGAGATACCATTAAGATCTTTCCTTCCCCTTTTCCTAAAATCATAACTCAGACCAGAAACAGTCTTGAGCTATGCCTTCAATTCTCTTCTGCTCCCAACTCCATCTCCTCCGTCCTTCCAATATCCAGCTTCCTCTCAGTCCCCTGACGCAGCCCAGCTGATGCAGATATAAGAGATGTGGCTGTCACCTCCTCTGAGAACCCTGCCCTCGAAACAGCCTCCCCCTGCAGCTCTCCGCCTCATCAACTCTCCAACTCATTTCCAACCTTGGCTGCAAACATCTTTTCTCCTTGAGATGGTACCTTTTAATGTCTCTCTCCCCTGTGGGCTACACAGCTATGCAGAGCCCTGGGGACAGAGGCTGCAGAAAGATGGGGCGTCAGAAGCGTGGCGGCGTGTGCCCAGGCTACACACACCGGTAAACCTGCTTGCACACTTGGCGTGCAGGCAAACGGGGCTGTTCTTCAGTGGGCCTCTTCTCCTGTCCCCCCCTTAGGTCCAAGGCCGTCAACAATGGACCTGAAAGGTCAATGAGACGATGGGAAGCTGCGGACTCCAGAGGAAGAGGCAGGTCTGGTTTCTAGGCCACTCCTCAGGTATCAGCATCAGCGAGACCCAGTTTCCAACAGTCAGTGGCCAAGAAGAGGCTCTGTGGGAGCATAATCATTTCAGGCTGGCCACCAAGCAGCTCCAAGACTGTGAAGGAAAGCCAGGAGGGAAGGCAGTGGGTAGAGAGGGAGAACAGGGAGGGGAAACGGTACCCAGAACATTCTGAAAAGGCCACACTACCACAAAAACTGGGATCACAATCCAAGAGTTCTTGTCTCCTCTCACAGTCAACCCAGTGGTTTTAATTCATTTACCGTCTCTCTACAAACACCTCATGAAAGATGCTGGACGACGAGGGGAGGATATCCCTGTTTCCCAGACCCAGGCCTTCTGGCCACAAAGCATGCCCCACGGTGGCTGCTTGCTGGCCCTGCCCAAGCTCTCTGGCCTGCCCTTTGCTCCTACCTCCTCCTGATTCAGCTTGACAACATCTGTGAAAAGTGACAGACTGTATTAATCATGTTTTTTTATTTTCTATATTGTATGATGTTTTGACATCTTAAAAAGCTTGCTGGACAGGAGACATCGCCCCTCCCAGCCTAGGCAATTCTTATACACAGCAAAGGGAACATGTCTTTCATATGCAAACCAACCAATCCCGAGTCTATACTCCCAACTAACTCCTCATCTAACTCACACCAAGCGGACACTTCCCCTGCCCTAAGTCACCCAGGGCCAGCAGGGGCAGCTACCAGGCAACTAGAGACCACCCCACCCTCACAGCCCAGAGCCCGAAAAAGCATTCAAACTACCCAATCCTAAACTCTCTCAGGGCACTCACCCCGCCTATGCCATTCCTTCCCACAAAATCCCCAATCAAGACTCTGGGCCATGCTCTCCCTTCTCACCTCTTCTGCCTCCTGACCGGCCCTGGTGCTTCCCCATGTGGCCTGTGTGGCACGGCAGGCCCTCTCCTCCCTGGAAATGTAGTAACAAATTCTTCTCTCAGTGGCCTTGGCCCCTCCAAGTTGGTCACTCAGTCACCTCCATAAATTACAATCCCACAGGTACAAGTGAGATACAGACACAGAGACACTACCCACAAAACGCAGAAATCAATCCATTCCACTGTAGCTGTAAAGATTAACAATAAGGAACTTAAGGGGCCTGAAGACTCAGGGAAGGAACAGAAGACATTTCCTAAGGGTACTGTGTAAGCTGAAACTGCATGGTCAAGGAAAGTGTCTCTGAGACCCCAGCAGGGGCAGCGTCCCTGGCACAGAGGAAAACACCAAGTGAGGGGACTTGTCAGCCAAGGCAGCCGGGGAGGAGCCTCACCACCCAGCTTCCCTCCAAGAGGCCTGAAAGATGCCCTCTGACCTCTGACTTCTGCCCAGAGGGTCCTCTCTCTGAACCACACTCACTTCCTGTCCTCATCAAAAGCACTCTGATCTGGCTGTCCACAGTCACCAAGGAGATTTGGGAAAGCCATGTCATTGCTCAGCATCAGAGCTGTCACTGTAGGATATATCACCACCTGAAAAATGGGGCTCCCTCTTCCCTCCATCACCCCTGCAGTGCTCTGGTGATGACATGAGATCGTGAGCTCATGTGTCCTGCCAGCTCTAGGTGACACTTCCTGTGAGTAATCAACACATGAACCTGTCTCTGCTCAACAGCCAGCCCTGAATCCTGACGACTCTTAATCCTTCTGTACTGCTCAGTTCACACACAGCAAAAACTGCATAACCCTGGCACCTGTCTCTCTCCACAGAGCAAAAAGGAACGGTGGCTGCAGACTAAAAGTCAGAAGTCTGGGGCTCCAGTGACTAGAGTCTAGTCCTCATTCTGCAACTGACTAGCAATGCGACTGTGGGCAAATCCCTTCACCTCTCTGAACCTCAGTTTCCTCATCTGTAAAAGGGGGGAGAGAGGGGAAGGTGCAAATAGGAGGAGAAAAGCTAAATGATTTCTAAGTTTTAAAAGTGCTTGGTGCAACAACATACGTGAGCTTTGAACTCACGCAAACGATACATACTGTACACTGTACAATTCCATTTATATGAAGTTGGAGAACTGGAAAGATGAATCTACGGGACAGAAGCCAGAACAGTGGTGAGCTGGGGCAGGTGGATTAAGAGGAAAGGGGCTTGAAACTTCCTCGACGGATGGAAATGTTCTACATCTGATCTGGGTGGTTGTTACACAGTGTATATATATGTAAAGATTCATTGAATTGTACAGTTCAGATTTGTGTACTTTTGTGTATATAAATACCTCAATAAAAATTTTCAAGAAAAAGAAAAATCATGCTTGGTAGAGGGGAAAACCTTATTTACCAGGTTTCTGGTAACGAGCCAGGAGGTACCCCCTTGCTCCCATTCTTGAACCCCAGGTCCTGACCAGGCGAGCCCCGGGGACCTAAGCTAACCCACAGGAGGACCAGCGACGGCTGCTCACATCCCCAGCTCTCGAGGCTGCACACAGAACCAGGGGTACACTCACCCTCCCCCAGCTCTACCACCAGGCAAGGGCCAGAGCAGCCCTTCCCCACCTCCCAAGAGTGGACGAGCACTAAAGCAATCCACGCACAGCGGAGGACAGGGACAGACACATTGAAACTGGCCCTTACACCTCTGGAGAGATTGGCAGGTTGGGGCTGACCGCCACCTTCTCCTTGGGCTCCTCCGCCTGGGAGTGTGGCTCCATGCCCCTCTCATGGGTGGCAGGTGGGCTTGGGGTCTCCTCCCTTGATAGCAATAAAGAAGCAACAGTGTTAAAGCCAGTAGGAAGGCGAAAGGCTCCAGACGTACCCTATTCGGGGTCAAAGGGCTGTGATGGAGACAAGGGCGGCAGCCCCAACAGAGCTTCCCTATCTCGGGTCTCAAATCTCACTCTTCCCTCCCTGCCTCTTCCGGAGCTGTTTACACTGAAAACCAAGACTCACATCCCATGTGGGCCGCAGAACGGTTATGGCGCCCAAGGAGAGCTCTGCACACAGCAGGTGTTCAACGGATGCTGTTGATTGATCATTGCTGCTGCTCAACCTCCCCCAGTGACTCATTCCAACTGGATGAGCTCTAAGACCAGCATCTTTCTCTTGCCAGGGGAACAGAAGAACCAGCAAATATACACCAGGCTCTGGACCACGCTAGGGAGCCAAGGTCCTCTCAGCTGGCCTTAAGGAAGCCTGGACTCTGCACCTCCCTCTCCCTGGGGCCTAGCACACAACAGGGCTCTACCTGGGTCTGCTGAATGACTAGAGGTGGGATGACACTGGAAGGGAGGGGGCTAGCAGATGGGGACTGGGAGAAATGGCCCCCACGGCAGGAACAATGCAGCCAGGAAGACAGCATTCTCTGCCCCAACCCCTGGCAAGGCGGCAGTTGGGTCAGAAGATATGCTTCCTCATTCAAGAGTTTCTAAGCTACCCTAATCAGTCTGTGCACCCCAATTTTAGCTATAGACTGAGGACTAGGAAGAGGCAGATTTCCTCACTCCCTAGCTCATGTGAGACGCTAAGAGGAAACCTCTGTTGCTGCTTCTTAGGCTGCAAACCCACCCCAGCTCTCCCCACTTCTCCAGGCCTGCCACCCCCACCCCCGTCTCCCTCAGCCCCAGCACACACAACTACATACAGGACAAGCCCACCACCACCCTGGGGGGCTTGCAGCTCACCCTTACCTCTGCAGGGAGACAGGTGGGATGGGGCTGCCTGCAGAGTCCTCCCCAGGCTCCTCTGCCCCCTTCCGCTTGGGCTGCCCCTCGGGGGCCAGCGGAGGCCCTTCTTCAGTGGCCTGGCTGTGAAGGGGACTCTGGAGCCGCTCCCCACGCAGAAGTGGAGGAGATAACCTGGTCAGACCAGCCAGAGCAGCAGAGTCAGGCCCCTCCATTTGGAGAGCAGGAAGAGAATTTGACAGTACAGTATGTGGACCTAGGTCCATTCCTCTTCCCAGGCTGGACCCCAGTCCTCGCCCCAAATGCGTGGAGAACCACGGAGGGCAAAGCAGGCAGGAGAAACTCCCCACTGAGCTCTCCCTTCGCCTGGACTCGACTCAGCCTTCCCAAGTCCCCACACAGCATCTGCTCAGCCCGGGAGTGAGAGCTGAGCACACTCATTGGTGTATCGGTTCCCAGAGTTCACCATCACTGGGGCCGGGGAGGGATGGAAGAACTGAGCAGAAAATAGGGAGAAAAAGAGAACCCAGACTCAAGTGGTCAGACTATAGAAAATTCATGAAGCTATAGCTTTAAGGAAGTAAGAAAGCTGATAGCTTTTCGAGGTCCAAAAAGTAGAATGACTACCCCTCATCCCTTCCAGGGTGGCAGCCCTTCTCTTCTCAGGGGCTCAGGCCTGAGAAGCTGGAAGCCCGTCACTCACACACACTCACACACACATACACAGTCAGCCGCAGCCATGTCTGACATGGCAGGGCCCTGGCTAGAGCTCTGAGTTGCAGTACCAACCCTCTAGCATGGCTCCCCTAGACCTACAGCAGGCAACTCGAGCCCTGGCCCATGACCAGGCACACACATGGCTTAATCCAATCTAGCGAAGAGGACAGAGCCCCGGCCCCACAATGCTGCTATGCATAGAAAGTCTCACCAAATGCACTCAGCAGCACTACACATTCTTGTCTTGGTGCAGAATCAGAGGGTTTGCTCATGCACACACACATAGACGCACACACACATGTGCGCGCACACACACACACACATAGACTTTGCAAGGCCATCCAGTGGGTTCATCATCTGTCTTCAGGCAGGGGCACACTGAGCCACACAGACCAAAGCCAAGAATTCTGTCCAAGTCCATGCCATCCCAAAGGTCCCTGAAGGTGGCCTCCCACGTACTGTACCTCTCCGAGCCTTTGGACTGCTTGCTCTGCAGTTCTTCTCGGCTGGACTGGCTGTCATCCTTGTCTTCTCTTCCCAACCCCTGGGCCTGTAGGCAAGAAGCAGTAGAAAGCGTATACTGGAGAGATCTGCATTTGGGTCCCTCTGACTCTCACGCCTAGCAGGAAGCAGTGAGAGGTGGCTCTCAAGTGGATGAGGACCACTCAGGATACAGAAGAGAAGGGCTGTCTACTGTACAATGAGCCTCCTGGGGTTCTGGGTAAGCCCCCAGGCTCGCAGCTGCTCCCTACTGGCCTGGGGAGGATGAGTCAGACACCACAGCCACTGCATGCAGAGCCAGAAGCCAGAAGCTGAAGGAGAGCACACAAGAAAAAGAAAATCCTGCCTCCTGCTGTTGGAAGTCCTCACTGCCAGTTGCAAAGAGAAAGCAGAGACATCCACGGATCCCCAAATCCACAGAGGCCCCAGACCTCCTGTGCCAATGACATAGGGGGATGCTGAAATTAAGTGGGCAGAACTGGGGGCAGCAGACAAGTACATTAAAGAGGAAGGATCCTGAGGAGATGGAGACTTGGTGAAACAAGAGAGAGCTCTACTCCAGACAAAAAGGGCACCATCTGGGCGCTTGATGGGAGAAAGACAGAGTGCTCCTTTGCTGCATTCCGAGTTCCCCCAAGCACCCGGCCCCTATCAGTGGACAATGATGGCCCCTTCCCAGTCAGCGATTACACCATCAATCCAAACAAAAAACCCAAATCTCATTTTAAAGTTTGGATGTCTAGGCAAATTTAGCAAGCTGGTGAAAAAGAGGACTATTCTGGACCATTTTAAATTATCTGCAGGGGTGGGGCCACAGGGGCATAGTACCACAGTTGGCCTGGACTCAATCCTTTGTTCTAGCACTTCCTACCTGGGGAGTCTGTCTCCTCCACTATGAAATGGGATAGTAAACCGCAGCTCACAGGGCTTCTGGTGAGGATTAAATTAGATCCTGTGCATAAAGCCCAACTCCTGGCCCAAAGGAGGCATGCCACAAACGTTAGCTCCCCTACTCAAACTCCCCCACTCACACTCCCCCACCCTCCTCCAGCCTAACGCAAAACAAAAGCTTTGCCAGAGCCAGTCCTCATTCTAGGACCTCCACTCCTTCTGTCACGCTGACAGGAGCGCCGTCTGTTCCGGGACACAAGGGTTAACAGGAGAGGTGGGGCAGGAGACCACTCACTCCATCTTCCACAGTAGGCTTCTGGCCGGGCTGGTACACCGCAGTGTTCCCAGCCCTGTGCCCACAGGCCCCCACGCCTCTCCACCGGCAGCCTGAGCCCCAGCAGCTGTGGCCGACTCTGCCATCTGGATGGGCGAGGAAGGGCAGGCCCTGAACTAAAAGCCAGCTCCCCCAAATTACATTAAAAATAGAAATGAGCACCTCCTGGTGCCTGAAGCAGAAGGGCTCCCTGCCAGCGCTGCCACTCCTAATCGCATCAGCCTGGGCAGAGCCTGCAGACAATGGCACGGGCAGGCAGGCCTTCTCCTGCCCACCCTTCCCCTCCACTGGTCAGTTCGCAACTTGTCTTCCCCCACAAATCACACCAAGCTTAGCAAACAGCTCCCTCTCTCACTTTTCAAGGAAAAATAAACCACACAGGCCAATCCATTTAAGAAACTAAAATATAAGATGGGTAACATAGCAGGGTGATGGCAATCAAAGTGGGGGGATTGAGCCCTGAGTTAGAAAGGAGCAGATGCAGAAACAGTCTGTCTGTTTCATCTTCTATATTTCTGCCAGAAATTGAACTAGACCCCTGCTAGAGAAAAGGGGCTACCTTGGGAAAGTACCCAGACAGAGGTCCTTGGAGGAGACTTTTACTTGACCTCTAGAACTTTGCCCCAGAAAAGGAACCAAAAGAACCAAACAAGGAAATCGGCCATGTCAGCATTCTTCAGAAAGGGGAGACAGCAAGCACGTCAGAGGCCTCTGGCCGAAGACTGCACAAGACACCACTTCCCCATCCTTGACACAGCTCTGGACTTCGTTTTTATGATCCTGTCCCCAGTTAAACAAATAATGGTGCATTCATAAAGCAGAATGCTATGCAACCAATAAAAAGAGAAAGGTAGATCTGAAATAACTTAGAAATAAGTCAAGGGTCTATTCTCAAATTTAAAGAGCATAATACCAAGCAATTTTATAGCACAGTCCCAATTTTTGTGGGAAGAAAATAGATACATGCTTATATGTACACAGAAAAATTTCTGGAAGGGCACACAAAAACTGTCAATGGAAACAGTTAATAATCCCCACCTGTGTAAGGCTGCAGGAAGTGGAGGACTTGGACCTTCCGTGTTATGTGAGATAACATTATGGTCACTTTTATAATTTATTATAATATTCATTATGTTTATAATTCATTATGAACATTATCTTGACTGTGGTGATGGTTTGAAAGGTGTATGCATATGGTAAAATTTACCAATGGTACACTTTAAATATTGTCTAGCTTATCGTAGGTCAATTATATCTCAATAAAGCTGCATAAAACAATTTTTTTAAGAGAATATGGAAAATGGGCAAGAGCCCCTAGGAAAAACAAAGGGGACAGTATGTTCAGTTCTGTCTGTCCCACAAAGAGGCTGCTGCTCATTCCTCCAGCTCTGCTTCCCTGCTCAACCCCTCCACGCCCTGAAGACGGGAGAGAGCTGGAGACTGAGACCCACAAAGGGCTCTACGCAGTCAGCCAACCTGAGCACCCAGCACTGCTCTATGCTCCAACATGCTGGTCATGAGATACAGCTTAGGGCTTCCTCTGCCAGGGCCGGCTGCCTCAGAGGGTGCCTCGTTGAGAACCAAATCCAAGCCGGGCCCTGCTACTGCTTTATACCAAGTGGCATGACCCAAAAAGAGGCTGGCAGCCTTATTCATTTTTAGGCAGGACCTAGAAATCTGCCTTTTTTAAAGCCCCCAAGCATTCCGATACTGGCCAGGTTTTGGAGCCAGGGCAATGGAAATCCACCCTGCCCGGCCAGCTTGGTAACTTTCCCAATTATCTATTGCCCAAGGTGCCTCACAACTCACCTGCTCCAAACTCTTCCTGACTAATCCCAGCTGCCCTTGTTTGTGCCTTCACATCCCTCCAGTGCTGCAAATGTGGTAACCAAGGTCCAGCAGGGACCTGGTGGCTGGGCAGTGGCCCAGGAAGGCTTATTAGCCAGAGCTGAGAGCAACACGTCAGGTTCATACACAACCGGCCTCACAACACTACCCCATCTCCAGTGCTCATTTCACTAACCGCTCCCAGGCTTGATCCACTGAGAACACCTTGTTTGTTTCACCCAACAAAATTCCGTTTCACCCAAACCAAATGCTCCCTTAAACTTGCAGAGACTATGTGCCAGAATCTTTCTTCTCTTAACAAACCCCAGAGGAGGAAAAAACGATCTTCTTGGCTTCAAGCTCCTTAAGGACAGGATCTCTGTCTGAGTCATCTTTGTGCCCTACTCTGGGTCATCCTTGTGCCCTACTCTGGGTCAGATGTCACCCATGCCCACACGGAGCTTACATCTGGCTGGGGAGACAAAGAACAATAAAACAAAGGCAGCAGCACTAAAGGGAACAAAGGAAGAGAATGATTCATGCTGCCTGGAGGAGGTGACGTCAGAGGTGGAACTCCAAGACCAAGAAAGCTCGCAGGGACAAAGGACAAAGGGGAAGCAGCACAGTAGGCAGAGCAGTGAAGGAGGTGGATGGGGCACCCTAGGAACCGTGAGTGCTGGACACAGCTGGTGCATGCGAGGTGGGCTGAGGATGAGGCTGCAGAGGTTGGATGGGCCAGGTTGGGAAGTGCCTTGAAATCCACAATCTACACAGCACTTTGCACATGACCAAGCAATCAATCCTCAGTTGCTAAACGAATGGATAAACAGACAAATATATGGGGTGGGGGGACAGTGCCTTAATTCATAGCAGTGACAGAGGGTCAGAAGCCCCTCCCAGGACCGTCAGGGCCATGCCTTAATGAATTAAAGGGAGGCAACTCCCAGAAATGCACCCTGGGATGGGCAGAGCTCAGCCCTTGGTTTTCCCAAAAAGTGAGGCCCCAGCCCAGCCCACCACCCAGAGACTCACCTCCCAGCGGGCTCCACCCCGGATGGGGGAAAGCACGGCAACATCCAGAAGGTGCTCCGAGATCCGGCTGCGAAAACCAAAGTCCTGGAGACAGTGGGGATGGGGAGGTCAACTCTGCCTTCGTCACAGTCAGCACCCACCAGGGCCTCTCCTCTACCCCTAACCTTCCAGAAAGGCACCTACTATGTGCCAGGTGCTGTGCTAAACACTTCGACATCTACTAATTAATTCAATCTTCAAAATAACACTGTTACTAGATGGAAAGATGTGTGATAAAGCAAGTATGGGAAAATGTTCCCTGTAGACTCCAGGTGGTGAATATGTGGGTATTCACTGTAAAATTCTTTTAATTTTTCTGTATGTCTGAAATTTTTCTTAATAAAATTATGGGGAAAAATAACCCTGTGAGACTGATCCTCTTGCGCTAATTTCACAGAGGAGGAAGCAGGTTTGAGAGCACACGTACTCTACCCAAGGTCACACAGCTGATAAGCAATGGGCTGGGGTCAGATTGCCCTGGGCTAACGCCAAAGCCCGAGCTCTTTGCATGGCACGTGCTACAAAGCCGTCACTTTCCAGCCGCCTCTCCCTCCTGGTGCCCAAAGTGCCCAGAAGACCTGTGGGCAGCTTGGAAATGAAGCTTGATAGGCTCCTCCCAGCTTGTCACTTTCCCCTTCCCATACTGGTGCCACTCTGAACAATGGAGATTAATTAGCGGTACTTCCTCCACAGGCTTCTCTTTGGGACAGACAGCAAGTGCCCTCACAGATGCCAGCTCCCCGCTGCCCTTTGGCTGCCATAGAACCACGGTCCCGCCCCCTCCAAGCCGAGGATCCTCACTGGGCTAAGTGAAGGATTGCTACCTGACAGCATGCTAAGAGGGACAGTTCTGTCATCAGCCCTGATAAATGGCGGGACACCCAGCCAAGGTCTGGTCCTGCTGTCCATGGCTTCCTCCACCCACTCCCATAGAGAAGAAAAATGCTGAAGGGCACATTTCTCCACATGGTAACTCCCTTAGAAGGGCCAGAGCCCTTGCTTCAAAGAGTTCTGTGACATGGCTATTCATGACAGTTTTTGCCAACAATGACTTTTTCGCCTTCCCTTCCTAGCTTGTGGGTTTTCTTTTTTCGTGACATTTTCCTTTCAGTTTGAGTTCGACTCCACTTAATGCAGCTGCCATCTGCCTCCTAAGCCCCTGGCTCAGTGAGGGGCTACAGCACACAACTTCCTAATTCCTCTGCGCCCCTCGTATCATTACTGTTCATCCCTGACCCTCTCCCACTAATCCCTTCCCTTTGATCAGCCTCCTCCAAACAGATGGAGCACAACTTCCAGAGGTAATGCTCTGCCAAAAAGCACCCCAAACTACTCCCCTTAGATACAGAACTGGCAAATGCAGTCGGGATACAGCAGGCTGGGCGAAAGGTCTGGGACAAAGAAACCACAGATGCTGGCATCGCAGGACAAAGTCTTAACTTTGGAAATGAAACCACAGCATCCCTCCTGGCCAGAGCCTGATGACTGGTCCTCACCATAGCTCAGTGATTCCATAATCATAAGCACGGGCATGTGTGCACACAAACACGTGCGCGCGCGTACACACACACACACAACCAGTCTCTAACCTCCTAGATTCATGTAATGTTTCTGCTAGAGCCCAGAGGCAATGATCTCACAGGCAATTGACACAGCAGTAATAGTAATAACAGCTACGTTTATTTAATGTGTATATACTAATGTTTTACATTCTTTACCTCACTGTCTTCTCACAATAAACCTATAACATAGGTAGTGTTATCTTTAGTTAATGGGCTGAGAAACTGGAGTTAGACAAGACCCAGGTGTGAATCCTAACTTCCCCACTTACAAGCTGTGTGATGCTAGGCAAATTACTCAACCACAGGGACTCGCAAATCCATGCTCTTCACCACCACTCTGCTGCCCCTCATCTCAGACTCACCAGGCCAAGGAAGGACTTGGGGTCAGAAGCAGCCGAGTCTGAGAGCTGTAGTTCCTTCATGTGTTCACTAATTTCTGACTCCTGGGGAAAGAGACCCATAGAGAAGTCGCCTGGAGCAGAGCATAGAGGGTCATGATCACTAACCAGGAAATTCTGTTCAGGTCATGCTGCCAACACAGGGCGGAGCCCAAACCAAAATCCACCTCTTCTGGAAAACTTGAAAGAGGCCTGTGGACCCTCTCATTCTCTCTGGACACATGCACCAGGCCCCAGCCCACTCAGGCCGGGCAGCCGAGCTGAGCACAAACAACCACACGATGACTTAGGTCAACAAGGATTAACTTGTGTAAGAAGAGCCGAGTGAAGTGTAGTGGAGATGGTTAGAAAGTTGGCAACAGGGAGATTTGATGCTATTCTAAAAAAACAGAATCAGAGTATCTTTTCCAGGAAGCAGCTAAAATCTCTTTAAATGAATTTCCTCACCATCTACCTAGAGAAGGAACAGGACTAAAGGTTGGAAAATCGAAAATGCCAAAGGCTCTCCGCACTGGGTCCTACTTTTGTCCATTTGGGTCATTGGTCTGGTCTTGCCAAAGCAAGACTCCCGTGTATTGGATTGGTTCAGAAAGAGCCACAGAAATCAATGAGGAGTCTTCCTGTAACCTAATTGGCCAATGCTGGGGCAGGACACTCCCAACTGTCCCCCACCCCCTCAACGTTCTGCTCTCTCTATAGGAACTCAGACTGCCGCAAACATGACTGACCCCAAACAGATGTCAAGAAGTAGAAGGGGAAGCAAAAAACAGGAAGAGGACATAAGTAGGAGAACTGAAGAACATAAACATCCCAGGAGGGTGCCAATGGAAAAGCAAATTTCTGCTCTGAATTTCTAGTGCCAGCAGGTTTGGAGTTTCATTCAGGATTTTCCTGCCTGCTGGGTCCTGGCATATTTGTCACAATTAAGTGTTCTGGCTGATGTTGACAGCCCAGTGCAGGGTCTCAAATGAAGCTCTTAACTCAGTAATAAAGATGTGGGGACAGGAATCTGCACAGGGTTTAACAGAGCAGCAGAGGGTCGTAGCCGGCAACAGCCTGTGGGACAAAGTGACTTACTTCACTGGCATCTGATCTGCTCTCTTTCAGGACAGAAGCATCCTTCTTTGGCTCCTTTGCTGCCTCTTCCTTCCTGGAACCCTCCTCTCCTGCATCTACCAGGTCCTCTGGTGCTTCTTTTTTCTTGGCTTTGGCAGGCTGATCGCCCCCAGGGTCCACCCCGAGGGTCACCAGACTCCTGGATGTCCCAGGATCACTCTTCTCATTCTTTTCTTTTTCTGGGAGCCAACTTGCCCCTCTTCCCTGTCGCCCTTTGCCATCGGCACTGCTCAGGCTGCTGTCTGCACCTTGGCTGAAGAGCTTGCCGGGAGTAGGGGGGCTGGCAGCATCTGAATCAAGAGAAATGTCCTTCTTCTCCTCTGGCTGGCTTGTTCTTGGGGACTCCTAGGGATCAGCAGACCATGTCAGAAAGGAAGACGTCAGGAATTAAAAAAAGGAGTTTAGAGACTTGGTACAAGATGGAGCTGCCTTTCCTTGACTCCCACAGGCCAGTGCTCTGATACCAATGGTTATCAAACATCCCAATAGCTTTTTAAAATACAGATTCCTGACCCCATCCCAGGTCTACTGAATCTGAACTCCTATGGTGATTTGGATACACTAAACCTGACCCCCATCCACTGATGGGCTTGGAAACCACTGCGTTGGACTATACAACTCCATCACCACCTACCACGTCCTCAAGTAATAAATCTGTCTCTTTCCAGTCCCATTAGGCAAATCAAAAGATTGCAGACTCAGAAACCAATACTTAGTTACGATGATGGAGAATCACATGAGAGAAAAGTACCAAAGTCTAGAATTTCTATTCTTCATTTTTAAAAGGCAGCAGGGAAAAAAATACCAGGAGGGTGCCCTTCTTCAATAGCAATGAGGCTGGCTCTCTCCCTAAAGCCTCCCCTGTACAAGCAACCCTGGGAACAGGGTCCTCTGACACAGGACTGTCAACTCAGGTGTTCTGAGAAGCAGATGCCAAGAGGGGACTAGATGTGTAAGAGATTTATTGGGGGAAATGCCTATGAAAGATAAAGAAGGTGGGGAGAGCCCTCAGAACACAAGTCTGAGACCTGTGACAGGAGAGGGAAGGAGGCGGCTTGAGTAAGAAGAGCCTCGGGCCACAGCACAGTTCTGAGACAGTCTTGGCCAGCCCTGTGGAGAGTCCCCAAGCAGGTTACCCATTGGAGGAGTCCCGCATCAGGCAGAAATGGCCCTGCTCTAGGGGCTGTTGAATTCCATCAACAAGCAAGGCCTTGGCCTGAGCCAGGATGGATCCAGGTGCAGCAGCTGGAGGCTATCAATCCACTAAGGTCCCCTCGGCAGGGTCTCCTGAAAGGAGATGTGGGCAGCGCACCTCTACAGCTGCCACACCTGCTTCTCACACACAAACCTCACTTTAAAGACTAGGAGAAACCCTTAGAGCCAGCCAAAATAGAAACAGAAAACCCTCCCTTGGAAATACAGCCACCGATCTCTCCTGGGCTCAGGCAGAGGAGCATTCCTCCCAAAAACATCTGTGTTAACACTCGGGCTGCCAGTCTGAACAATTTCTGAGCAGGGATTTTTAAGACTTCCTGATTCCCTACCCTGGAGACTCAAACACAAGGAGCATGATGACCAGAGTCCAGAGGTCCAATGAGGCCTAAACATGGCATTCATCGATGCTGTCTCTATGTTAAAGGACCTGTTGAACCCAAAGCCATGCCCAGGCGCCTGCAGGTCTGGCAGCCTACTAACAAGCTAGCCCAAGCTTTCCAGGAACAGTTAAGAGAGGCAGAAAGCAGAGCTGCTCAGAGCTCAGCTTCAGAGACAGACTACCAAGGTCCAAAGTCTTGGCCCCACGTTTACAGTGACCTTAGGCAAATTATTTTACTTCACTGTGCCTCAGTTTCTTCCTCTAAAATATGGGGATATGGTAAGACCTACCTCAAAGGGTTGATGGGAAGATTAAATGAGTTAACACTCATTAAGTGAGTTAAAGAAATGGGAACTGTGCCTGGCGGACCATAAGTGTTCCATAAATGTTAAACTAAGGTTTTATGATGAGACCCACACGCCCATTCACTGACCATCTTATATGTGCCAAATACCAACCTGGGAACCCAAATATGAACAAGACATAGATCCTGCCCTCAAGGAATTCAGCTGAGTATGAAGAAAAGTGAAAGAAGTCCCAGGTGGCTCTGGTTATGAGCCTTTACTACCCAAAGCAAGGGGCACTGGACAGTGGTGATACTCTCACCAGCCCCAAGCCTGTCCCAAGGAGAAAAGCAGAGGGTGAAGGAGAGAAGGGGTGGGCTTCCCTTGTGCCTTGGCAGCCTGAAGGCAGGGCATGTGCCCATCCACCCAACACCCCTAACCTGTAGCATGGAAGAAATCTGCCATGATCACTGGGCTAGGAGAAGAGGGTGAAATGGGCACCTTCTCTTCAAGAGATCTTCAGGTGAGGCCAGGCTTTTTCATCACACTATCTCGAACAGTGGCCAGCACTCAGCAGGAGCTCAATAACTGTTCTGTGGGGCTCCATGGACTCCAGGAAGGACGTGGGAGTTTCTTGGGGTGGGTGAGGGGTGTCTGGCCAGCCACACTCCCTCATTCAGCAAGCAGGGCCAATCCACCCTGGCCATGCTCATCCCACGAATAAAGAAAGGCTCTCTTGCTTGAAGGAAGGAGTGAAACCTAGCCCCAAGACAGCTGCCTGGCAACAGGGGTTAGGGGACAGAGGAGATGTCAGACCACAAAAAGTGCCCATGGCCTTCAGGATAAAGTTCACACCTCCTCACTTGGCCCACAGCCCTTTCTGGTCCAGACCCTGCCTGCCTCACATGGGTCATCTCCAGCCACTCCCTGCACACATCTCCTCCTGCCTGTGAGTAAACATCATGCTATTTCACCACTTTGCCATGGTCACTCTTCACATACACACACAATGCTACCCTGACAAACTCCCACTGGTCCTCATAGCATCACACCTTCCAGGAAGCCTTCCTCGATCCCTGGGGCAATTGTCCTGAGACAGCCTTCCCCATCCTCTCCCATAACAACTATTATATTATAATTGCTGATTTCCTCATCTGTTTCCCTCATCAGATCAGCTCCCTATTACCCTCAGTGCCTAGTTTCTGACACATGATAGGGGCTCAGTAAACGCTCGTTGACTGAATTTTTAATAAAGAATAAGTGTGTCATGCAGATATAAGAGTTGAAGCTTCCCTTCCTCCTCCATAAAATGGCGATGTAATATTAATTTTACAAGGTTATACAAGAATCAAACTATATTATATTTGTTATAGTGCTTATTAAATGGAAAATAGCTAAACAAATGTTAACTATTAATATATTCAAAATGACAGAAAAACAAGTAACCTATCAAAAATCAGAGGACCCCAGATACAGGTAGAGATTCCTATTCATTTACATGGAGAGAATACAGCCAGACTACAAGAACGTTAGGCCCAGTCTATGCAATTCTCAAGCTTAAGTTCCTCAAAAGAAGATTTTCACATGACAGAGCTTATCCTATTTTATCTGCCTAAATATTAAAACATGGCTAACATCAAAATAAACAAGCTTGCATTTTCTGCATCCATGTCGACTAACTGAACAACACGACAGCCAGCAGTACATCTTGAGGGTTAGGACAGCAGAAGGAGAATAGACATGTGTTGTAGATTCTCCACAAATGGATGAGCGAGAGCCGAGTGTCGGGAAAACCCATCTGACTCCACGCTCCTCTCCCTTCACTCAGCTCCTGCTCCTCACCACATCACAGGGCCCAAGGCGTGAGGCCAGGCCCAGGATGCACACTCCAGGCCCCGGTGTACAGTCTCCTGTGTCGGTGTTTTATGGGGTATACAGGGGGACTGCACCCTCAGCACAGCTTTGCTCTCAGCTCATTGTGCTCAGACTCCGTCTGTCTCCTCCGGTCACAGCCCCAGGTGTTGAGTATCTCAAGGCAAATTTCTGCTGCTTTTTCAAAAGACTTTGCCATCTGCACGAGGAGGGGTGTGTAGAGAGTGCCTGTAGCAACCATTTCATGAATATTGAACATATCCCCCAAAAGCCATGAGGTCTCCAGTGCCGCAATCGCCCCCTCTGGCCCAGAGCACGGAGGGCAGGGGCTCCTATAATCCACACAGCTCAGGAGGGAAGGAGCGGAGGATGGGGGAGCTGAACACGATGTCTGTGCATTGATCCTGTTCTGGAGAGACCGCCATCAAGCCCACCATCAGTCCAGTTTATTTTCCACGTCTCACTCCCAACCCCGTGGGTCTCAATTCTTTGCACTGTGCCCCGGCGTTGTTAGTGCTTTCCAATCACACTGACATCATCCTGTTATTTCTAAGCCCAGCTCCCTCCCTCTCCTTTGATCCGCTGCTGGGGTTTTCTCCAGCACCACAAGGCCACACGCCGCCTGCCTGCCTCCCATTTTTCCTTCACACCCATTCTCAACGTCTGTTCCATGAACCTATCCCTTTTGATTCTGTAATAGACTAGAAATAAGTTTAAGCTGAAGGCAGGAGAGGAGGGGGAAGGATACAGAGGCAGAGCAACACACACATTCTTGCCATCCTACTGCCCTCTCATGGAATTATGAGCAAAGTGACTGTTGACAGTGAGACAAGATAGTACTTAACCACGGATGGAGATCTCCATCTAGGGCTTCCTGGGATGCCCCGGAGGGGGAAGAGGTGGGCACCTCAGAGGATCCAAGGACTATAAACTGGGACAAAAGCCATTTTCAAAGGTGTGGTCCAGGCAGAGGCAGCCTTCTCTGTCCTGAAACCCCCATTCATCTCACCAACAATTTTCCCCACCAGGAAAAGCCCTAGTTCCTGCCTGAGGTTAGAACACAGGAACCCAACACTCCATGTGGCAAAAAGAACTAAATCTGCTGGGCTGCTAGAGACAGGGGTGGGAGGTGTGTTTAACACCTCCCACTCTAAACATTTCCCTCATCACACTGTTTTGCCTACTTATATTAAAGAGGTTATAAAAAAAATATGTTTAAAAGCTCCCACTCCCCCAAAGAAGCACATAATCACGAGGAGGGAAGCTTTTGAAAACCCAGGACATGTCAAAGAAGAAAGTCTCTTTTTTGGTTGACATTTATAATCCACTGTGAAGTAAAAATTAACTAGCCCGAAGTCAAAGCGCATCATGATGGATCATGAAATCTTCACCGAAGATGAAGATTGACACTGAAATCTTCAATCCACCAGCTGACAGCAGGGACCACGTATCTACTCTACCCAGGACCTAGGAAAGCCAAGGGAAAAAAAAAAGCACAACACAACCTGCCAGGATACCCTTCCGGTCCCAGTGTGGCTCATTCATTCACCCATTCATTCTCTCAACTGCTCAGCAAAACATACCCCTGTGCTTCCTATGCTCCAGGCAGTGGGCCAGGTGCTGGATATATAGACGTGAATAGGGCAGGATCTCTACCCTCAATTTGCTCAGTTTCTTGGAGTCTCGCTTCTTTCTCCAAAAGCAAGTAAGTCTTCCTGACACCCCATTCCCATTCATGGCCATCCTTCTAGGCTCAAAACCTGAGCTACTGATTCCATCATTGTTATAAGGTCTTAATGGCAGATGAGAAAAAACAAGGCTGTCATTTCAAAAAGGAAACCCAATAGACTGAAGGCTTTGGATTTAATGCAAACAGACCAGGCACCAATCAGAAGGAACAGTTTCAAAGTAGACACAGGTCAGGCTGATGATCAAGAAAGGCACTGAGAAAAAGTGTCACATTTGGCAGAAAGTATTAAACTCACAATCAAAACACATGTGATTGTGCAGAGCCAAAATCATGGACAGTTTCTGAGACAATAGAGAAAGCCTAACTATAAAAAGGGGCCTGCCCAATGGCCAGAGTTGGGTCCCCTGGGAAGCCCACCTACAACCCAGGGCCTGTCAGCCAGCATCCACAACCGCAGCCAACCTGAGACATTAACTCTGGCTCTCAAGGTGAGCTGAAGACCAAGAAACAAGAGTCAGAAATAATAAGAACACGTAAGAGATAATAAGACAACAAATTTAAATCCATGATACAGGCACTGTTGTTTTACTGATCGTTTTTTTGTGATCATGCTAATAAAATGTGAGTGATCTGTTTCATTTGAAAGTGTTTAAAGTGTTTAAAAGAATTTGATATATTAGACTTGTGAAAAGTTTAATTAAGCTTATAATCAATATTTAAATGTTTGGGAAATCTGAGATGTTGACCTCATGATTTATTGGTTGTGTGAATACTTTAGGAATATTTGGAGAAATGTTCATTGTCAAAAATTAATAAATTGGACGCTAGACAAGTACATATAGTAGGGAGTGTTCCTTTTCAAGTAGAAAAATGAACTGGGAGTTTTTAGGCACTACAACGACATGATGAGTTTGGGGTTTTGTTTGTTTTTTATAGAGAATATTCTGGTGGCAGTGAAGGACAGACTAAGGGAAAGAAATCAGAAGCAAGAGGACTATTGGGGTATTCTGGAAGCTACTCCCATCTATATTCTGCATTTCCCAGGCCTCGGGCCTTTGCTCCAGCTGCTCGCTTCCCTAAAATATCCCTTAAAACCCCCATGTGTAAAATTTACCTCCTCTTCAAGACCCAGGTCAAATGTCATCTCCTCCACCAAGTTTTTCCTGATCTCTACAAAAGTAATTTCTCGCCCCTAAGAACTCCTCCAAACAGCGCACCTGTGCTAGAGCTCTTTACATGTACTGCCCTGCTTTATAGTTTCCTAAATATTCATTCAAACATTTACTGAGTGCTTACTAACCACCAAGGACTAGTGTCCTTTCTCTCTCTCAAACTCCTTGAGGCCAGTCCAGATCCATATCTTACCAACATCTGTATCTCCCATGGGACCTAGCACAGTGGCCTGCCACAGAGCCAGCATTCGACAAGTGTTAAGAATCTGGACAATGTTACACCTCTGTTCAGAATCTCTGATGGCTCCCAATGCCTGTGTAATCCAATCCAAACTTCTTAGCTGGCACTCAGGTCCTCCATGATCCAGCCCAATCTATCTCCACAGTCTTATCTCCCACATGCGCTCTGTACTCCAGTCCAAGGAGATGCCTCATCTTCCCCAAACTCCCCCTGCACCTTTCGCCTCTGCCTGTGCAGTGCCCTGCACCTGGACTTCTCTCTCACCATTCACCTCTCCCTGTCTAGTCCTGCCCATCATCCTTCCTGGCTCACTTCAGATGTCAGTTTCTCAATAAAGCCTTTCCAGATCAATCCAAACAGAGAGGAGATCCCTAATTTTCCCCTCCCGTGGCACTCTGTTTTACCCTCCTTACAGCCTCATTGCATTCTACTCTGTGTTCCAATCATTTAAGCCTATCTTTGATGAGACTGTAAACTCTCAGAGGGCAGTAAGCTCATCTAATTTATACTTGTACGTTCTACAGCACCTAGCAAAGTGTATCATGTAAAAACATTCAATAAATGGTGGTTATTTGATAAATGAGTAAATGGATGAATTCCTTTCCACCCTTGTGCTTCCTCGAACCCCAGAAATCCCATCTGAAGAGGACTGGGACAAAATGTTTCTCTTTCCAAATATGCATCCCACAAGGAGAAAGGCTTAAGAAGGAAGGAGGGACACACCAGGTGGAGGCATTTGCCTGCAGGGGCTTCACGTTCTTACCTCATACTCAAAGTCGCCCCCCAGCACCCCAATGTCCAGGTGCAGGTTCTTAAGAAGCTCACTTGAGCTGCGGACACTCTGAAAACAAAAACGATTACGAGTGGTTAAATCAAAGGAAACTGGTCAGCCCAGGGTGAGGGCCAAGAAGCTCCTTGCTGGTTACGCTTTCTGGGTCAGATCTAGCGGGTATATAGACTGACAAGAAATGAAGCCATGGGCTGGAAAATCATTTTTACTTATTTTCAAAGTAGCACAGAGGTTAGCCAAAAGGTGAAAACAACCCAAGTGTCCCTCAACAGATGAATGGATAAACATAATGTGGTATATTCATACAATGGAATATTATTCAGATATAAAAAGGAATGAAGTTCTAATACATGCTACAATATGGATAAACCTTGAAAATATTATGTTCAGTGAAATAAACCAGACAGAAAAGGACAAATATTGTATAATTCCACTTACATGAAATATCTAGAATAGATAAACCCATAGAGACAGAAAGTAGAAAAGAGGTTACCAGGGATTGGGAACAGGGGAGAATGGGGAGCGACTGTTTAATGGGTACAGAGTTTCCATTTAGAATTATGAGCAAGTTCTGGAGATGGATAGTGGTGATGATTGCATAACATTGTGAAGGTAATTAAGGCCACTGAATTACACACTTAAAAGAGGTTAAAATGGTAACTTTCATGTTAAATACATTTGGCCACAATAAAAAAAATTTTTTTCAAAAAATAAATGGCACAGGGCCGGCCCCGTGGCTTAGCGGTTAAGTGCGCGCGCTCTGATGCTGGCAGCCCGGGTTCGGATCCCGGGAGCGCCCCGAGGCACCACTTCTCCGTCCAACGCGAGGCCGAGTCCCACGTACAGCAACTAGAAGGATGTGAACCTATGACATACAACTATCTACTGGGGCTTTGGGGGGAAAAAACTGAATAAATAAAATCTTTAAAAAAAAAAAAAAAAAAATGGCACAGAGGGTTTCCAGGCCAGGAGGAGGATTCATCATTACCTGGTTGTCACTTTCCGCTTCATCCTCCTCGTTGGTCTCCTCCCCTAAAGCCAAGAGGCTGAGAGCATTCTTGTCCTCATGGATGGAGCCCAAGAGACCCTTTGTATAAGCAGAAGTCTTGAGACCCTGTGAAGGCTCCAAAATAGAGAAGGAAAGTCAAGGGACTCACTAGGAAGACCTTCAGAATGACCTTCAGAATGCTTTCCCCACTCTCTTTCTGTTTAGATGTCTCCCAGAGCAAGTCTGCCGTGTCCAGGAAGCTCCAGCTCACACTGGAGGGATCCCGCCCTTTTCCAACTCCTACTGCCCTGGCTGCATGGACTGAGAAATCAGCACCACAGGCCCTATAGCATGGGTCTATCCTCCACTGCCCCAAGTCCACGTTCAGCATCATACAAGTGTGTGTGACTCACCTTCCCAACTAGATTATGAACTCTGAGGACTCAGCCTGTGCCTTCTACGTCTCATCCACGGGCCACAGTTCCTAGCATGGTACATGAGAGGCCTCAGAGTAACTAAATAACACTGAACACAAGAAAAAGTATTTACCGGCATGAGTTCTCCGAGTTGACCGGACTCCACTGAGCTCCCCAGGCTCACATTTTGAGATCCACGAGGGGCAGAGGGTGGAGCATCCACAAGGCCTCTTAACGGAGCCAGGCCCCCAAGAGGAATGTGGACTGGGGCTAACGAGGAGCCCAGGGCCTGGGCAACAGAAAACATCTTGTTACAACCCAAGAAACCACATGTCTCTGAGAGTGTCGGAGACAGATATAAAAATAAAACTTCTAAATCCTACCCGCTCAAATTTAAACCACCTCCAATGAGAGGCTGCTAATGAAACACAACATCCAGAAATTACCATCGTGCGAACTGTGTGAGAAATCACAGGCTGGTTTCCTGATTCTCCTGACTCTGCTGCTGTCTCACAGTAAATGGTTCCTTCACATCTGGCAGATGATGCACAGGGTTCTGCTCTCCTTTCAGAAGCCACATGGGAAGTAGGGGGAAGGGAGAGCAGAGACAAAAAGCCTCATCTACCAGAATGCGAAGTCTCAGTACATAAAGTTTAAAACTGATGAATCAAGAAAAAGCAGTCTAAGCATATTATTTACAAAAATGGAAGTAAATACCAGAAGAAAGCGGCTGCCTCTGGGGAGGGGCATACACACCAGAGGACTGTTGTATTTTATTATACGCCTTTTGGTGCCATTTGACTTTAACATGGGCATGTATTACTTTGATGAATATAAATATTAACTGTGAAAAAATACACATGAGCAACAGAAGAACTCTCTTTCCCCTCTCCACTGATGAGAAGAGTGGCTGAAAGGAGCCTTGCCAAGGGACTGACCAGGCCCCTTCTTCTCCCTGTTCTTCATGCCAGAGAGGACTGGGGAGAGAAAGCAGTCTGGAAGTCAGAATGGGTGAGACCTCAGGCTTCTCAGACTCTCAGTTTACTCATCTACAAGACAGAGATGACATGTGCCTTGCCACTTAAGAAGGTTTGTGGAGAAGTTCAAATGAGATAATGAAAGCAAGGAGCATACGTGGGTGGTCCAGGGCCACGCCAACGTTATGGAATTGCTATTACGGGGATTCACGTTACAATGGTCTGGGCTTAGAAGTAGAGGCAAGGATAGCATTCTGGGGACAGTTTACAAAGAGCTCTTTAAGATTCCTTTCTCAAACTTAAAATGTATAAAACAACACAAAAATTCCATTCCTCTCTAATCCCACAGGGGCTGAAGAGAGAAAGGGGAACGTGGAGGAGGTCAGGCCGAGGAAGTTCGGATGGCCCAGCTTCTCACCCACAGCCTCAGCCTACAGACCAGACCATGGGGCGGGTTCTGAACAGGGCCCGTTTCGGCACCAGGAGGGCATCAAATGCTCATAGGAAAGATGAGATGAGAACCTCTCCCGAGCCTTTGTAGATTCCCGATCATGTGGCCTGTTGTAGGGGATCTTTGTTAGGGAGAAAAGGAGCTGATAATAGAAAACACGTGCCCACAATACTCCAGCCTTGGGCACCGGGGTGAGCATTTTACATGTGATGTCTCATCGTACTCTCACAACAACTCGAGGTCACCATCCCCACGTGAGCAAATGGAACGTGGTAAGGTCAAGACCCCTGCCCAAAGTCACAGGGCCAGCAAGGGGCAGACACAGAATTGGAACCCAGGGCTGTCTCTAAGCCAGTACTTTATAGTGCCTCCTGGCTGTGGCAGAAAAGGAGCCCACGAAAGCTGCTCCGAGGTGAACTGTGCACAAACCGGGCCTGCTCCTCCTGGCTTCAGCCCTTCCAACCAGCCCTGGTGTATCAGCAAGCAAAATCCTTCCCACACTATATTTACAGAAAATTATAGACTCCTAACATGGCTAATTTGCTAACGTGCTGGGGGCTTGAGGGAGAGAGACAGGCATGCTGAGGGCTTTGTTCTCCCAGGCCTTTACCAAATCAGTGGTTAGCGGGGAAATTATACATTCCTGGCTCCAGCTGATCATCTTCTATAGCTGGCCATTAACTCAGACTATGGGCTGTGCGTGGCGTTGTCCTTCAGAGCGGATAAACTTGCTGCCATTGGGCTAATTAAAACTTTCAAGATAATCTGCAGCTTATCCGATATTTATAGTGCTACAGTAGTTATTAGAGCTAACGGAGAACCAGTGCACGCCAGCAATTAGGAACCAGAGGTAACAACTGGGTAAAGCCACAGCTGGGCAACAGCAAAAGAATAGCTGGGGAAATTCAGATTGACCCCCATGGTCTCTGCTCCAACCTGACTTCTTCTGAATGAAGACTATGGTGTGACTCTTTAAAGGGACAAGGTGTCAGAACTACAGGGCAAGCCCAGCCCTTTGGTAAATCCTAGCACAGGAGGAAGTGAAGGAACGTGGTTTCTGGGAACCCTGGGAAGCAAGGAGCAGAAGCAGCTCACTGGATGGCAGAGAGAGATTCTGGGCCGTAGCCTCTCATGACAGTATTAACTCTAGTTCTGTGTGATTCCAAGAAGGGACTCAATTCAGAGCTTGGGAGTAGGATGTCTACTTGGAAGGACCTCTCTCTATAATCAGCTGATGCAGAAGGCTTCCCAAATGATAGAGGGAAGGTACCTATAGGTTGTGTGAGTGCCAGGATCAGCACCACCTTGCTCACCCTCAAAACTGATCATCTTCAGTGTGAACCACCCATGGATTAGTTAGATCCAGGGAAGGGAAGTCTAGATACCCTCAGCCCCTATCTTGCAGGTGATGGGGTAGAAGAAACATGCAATACACATAATCCCACAAGATGGCCATCCTGGGTAGTTAAGGGATCAATAGTTACCAAGGGAGGGCAACTAGCAGGAAAGCAGACCTGATGGCTGCATTAAGACGTCAACTCAGCCTGCTCCCTCCCTGCCAAGTTCACTGAGGCCTATGGGCCACGCTGTCTAAGACGCCTACCTGGTTGAGAAGCTGCATCTTGCCTGGCTCTGCAGTGAGCCCTCTGTAGGAACTCAGCTCAACTAGCCCCTGCCTGAGGGGGCTGCTGCTCAGCTGGAAACAGGCTTGCTGAGAGGCCTCCTGCCCAGCAGGGGCAAGGGCCGCCTCCTGAGGATGCTCCAGCAGCTCTGGCCTCCAAGCCAGAAACCTTGAGTCCCTCTCCACGGCTCTGATGGCCTCATGTTCACCCTCACTAGACATTCTGGAGGACTCAGCTGCCATGCAACAGACCATGCTGGCGATGTCTTTGCACGGCATTTCCTGCACGCTCTCGGGCAGCCCCAGGCCCTCCAGCCGCCTGGAGATCTTGACCATCTGCAGGATGTGCTGGTAGAACCTCTGATCCTCAGAGTAGTCTTCACTCTCTGACGGCTCATCAGCAGAGCTCTGCATGTGGGATAACAGGGGCACTAGGAAGGGGCTGGAGTGTTGATCTCTGGGTCTGGGGCCTGACTGACCCGTGCCCCGCTCAGATCCCCGAGAGCTCTGCAGGTCCCAAGGGAAGTTGTTCACCTCACCCAGGATCTGAGAGCCAAGGGGAGAGGCCAGGCTGCTGCCGCTCTCTAAGTCAGGCCCAGACCCACTAGGCTTCCTGTCTTCTTCAGGGGGCTCTGGAGACCCTGGGGCTCGTCTCTTCTCACTGGTAGGAGACTCCCCAGGGGCATTCCCTGAAGGGGAAATCTGAGCTGGTTCTGACGCCAGGGTATCAGGTGGTATTAGGAAGAGCCCCTGAGGTGAACCTCCAGCTGAGGCCCCTGGAGCCTCAGCGTCATTGGGCTCTGTTTTCTTGCAGCTCCTGGGGGTGTCCTTGTTCACAAGCTTGGAGACCTGTCCCATCCATGATTTTGGGGGCTCTCTCCTCCTCCTCCCTCTGCCCACGCTCCCACCTTCCCCATAAACACCCTGCCAGCTCAGGTCTTCTGCTGGGCTGTTATCTAACAAGAACAGCTTGCTCTTCCTAATAGGCAGCATGTGGTCAGAAGAACAAGGGGACAGGGAAGGCTCCTCCTCAGAGGATGGCAAGGGAATGGGGCTCTGGCCCTTGTCCCCCCCAGGGCCAGTGGAGCTTAGTTTGGCCATGTTCTGGCTGTGCTGCTCCCCTTTCAGCTGCAAGCCATTGATGATTTCAGAAAGCTTTGAGTGGACAGAGGCCTGGTTCCTGCTTTCTAATACATCCTGCCCACTCTGGAGGGGCTGGGGGCTCTCAGGGCCTGGAGTGCCAGGTTTCTGCTGTCTGGTCCTCATTTCCAGCTCTTCTATTTCAGGGTCTGAAAACCCCAGGTAGATTTTCTCTGTCGGCTCCTGTTTCTCCAGACCCTGCTGATCACCTAATTCTGTCCTACATTGGGCTGGGGCCCTGCCTAAGATTTTCTCCACGTCAGCAAAGATCTGATGGGTTCGGGAAGCTTGGCGTTTGGAGAGTGGCTGCAGCTTGCCAGGCAGGGTGCCCATGAGAGGCCAAGGGGTGTCGCCCAGCATGCATGGGCTCTTCACTTTCTTAAAGGAGCCCTCACTTCTAGCCTGCATCTCTTGGTCTAGGTCCATACCAGCAAGCCCAGGTGCTGGGAGAGGGGATGGGCCACGGAGAAAGGAGGAAGAAGGCAGAAGTCCCTGCTCACGTTGTGTTTCCTAGATGGGTATATAAACATGCAGAGAAAACTAAGACAAAGTACCTCAGATTTATACTCCCTACCTCAGCCCTTGGCAAGCCCTTAGCGGAAACCCACCCTCCACTTAAAGTAAAACACAAAGCAAAGAGGGAAGAAAAGCTAAAAACTCCCTTGGGCTGAAAATATGTTGTTTTCTGGGCCTAAGTTTCTATAAAGAGGAGGCTGGATTAGATCAATGGCTTACAAATCTTGCGCCATGGAACCAGGGGTTGGTTCCACATGGCACCTCAAGGGCCACTATAGTGTGCATGTGATGGGGAAGGAGCATCACCAAGACCTACACCCCCAGGTTCAACCATGGCAGCTCCACTCCTTTATATGCTGGACCTCTATGGAGGAACTGACTTGAAGACAGGGCTTCACTAGTAACGAAAGTCTGAAAATCACCACCCAGATTATCCCTAAGGTACCATCGAGCTCTCAGTTCTGTGATTGGTTCATTTTATAAAATCACCAACCTTAGCAAGGACTACCAGAAATTGTCTAAGAAGGGAGAGAGAGGAGAAACATAACCAGTGAGCTGAGCCTCGGAAACTCTGAGCCTCGGAAACTCTGTCTAGGTCTTCTATCAAAGGCACAAGCTGGTACTGCTCGAGAGAGGTCCACAGTCATAGAATCTCGGGGCTAGAAGAAACCCTGGTTGCAAGGTCAACCACACCTTGCAAACAGTCGCACTAAACAATACCTAGCCCATGAAAGCCGGCACACCTCCAGAGAGCCCAAACCACCTGAGTCCAGGTCGCCCACCTGGTTCAGGCCTGCCCCTTCGACAAACTCAAGTTTGAGATGCCTGTCCTGAGCCCTAAGATCTAGACTGGCAACCCAGGGCTGTCCAGTTGTCTTCAGCTCCTGAAACCACAGAAGGAATCCTTTTTAAGAGGGAGCTCCAGGAACTCATCACACACCCAGAACTCAGTCTGTTACCTAACCCTCCACCCTAGAGCCCTCAATTCATTTCCTCTCACACCTTTAGTGATGCCAGAGCCTGCCAACATGCTGATCATCCTTTAAAATAGTCCTGGGTTAGTAAAAAACCCACCATCCATCTTTCGCCTTTCAAACACGTGACATTAGAAAATTTAGCCAATTTGGGAATTACCTGTCCTCTTTCCTCTATCTGGAAGAATAGGCTTGTTATCTTACTTCTCAGAGCCAAGAGGAGTAATATGTGGAGGAGGGGAAGGGAGGGAGGAGTTATCTGTGGAGCTTGGAAATGATAAAAAGGATAAATTCATCAGCAAACATCCAACGCTAGAACTGACACCTTGGGAAGGAAGGAAGAAAGACGGAGGAAATCTTGGCTGAGGAGTAAGCACCAGGCCCTGGTGGGATATAAAGACTATAAACAGAAGAGCAAATCAACCAGAGCATTGAGAGGGTTACAGAGGTATTCCCAATGCTCCCCACCTGGCTGACCCGGGTTCCTATGTCCTTCCTCCTCCTCGACATGCTCCGCCTGCCCCATACCTGGGTGAAGGGAAGAAGGCGGGTTTCCCTGCACCGCCACAGCACTCGAGGAGAGCCTGGACCTCACTTCAGAATGGCTCCAAGTCTTAGCTTCTCCACCCATAAAACGAGGGCAATAACTCTGCCTCCTAAGTTCAGACATACTGGAGGAACAAAGAATACCATAATGGGAAAGAGCACTTTCAACTTTGAATAAAAAAGCTACTTGAGACCAAGGTGATCACACTGCAATCAAATCTCAGTTATCCGCCACTAACCAAGGACACGGGCAACAAAGACAATCCACCGGAGTGGAGAAAGCCCAAAGCTGTTCTTTTTGGGTCTTGAAGGCACTGGTGTTCTGACAACTGAATTTTGGCTACAAGTGACGTTAGGAATTCGCACCACTGAGACAAATGATGAACCCACACTAGGAAGACCTGGCTCTGAAAGAACAGGAAGGACTCTCCCCTCACCCAGGCTCTGTGGCCTCCGCCAACTCCTCCCTGTCCCTGCACTCTCCAGAGGGGCAGATGGCATCACTTCTTAAACCGCTGCGAAACACCATCCTCAGCAGAGCACTCTCTCACTAATCCTACTATGTAATGTGTCCACCCAGGGGCACAAAGGAATTGTTTAGAGACTAACAACTTCTGGAAGCTGAAAGGAAAATTTGCCAGAAGATAGGCACAATTCAGATGATGTACCATCAAGAAATTACTATACTATTGTTGCTGTTCTCAACATCCCAGTTGTAAACACCCAGAGGTCCCCAATATCCCCTGAGGTTTCAGCTCTGGCCTCTCCGGAGCTGGCATCCACCGACTCACCAGGGGACTTCTGGAGGTCTCTTTGTCCTTCCTGTCTTTCTTTTCCTTTTTCTTTTTCTTCTCTTTCTTCTTAATGGCCCCAGAAGTTGACAGCTTCCCTCGCTCTTGGATCACCAAGTTCCGATAGTGCTCGTCACATGGATGGTCCCACATGGACTGCCCGTTGGCAAAGTTAAAATAGTAAATATCACCTGTGATGTCCTGGCTGGGGATGAGCAGAGGTCAGAAATTAGTCCCTGCTCAGGTCCAAAGCTACTTAAGAAAAAAAGAAATAAAAAAGAAAAAACACGGAGAGGAGGCAAAGAAGGAGACAGGGGAGGGAGGAAGAGGGAGAGAGAAGGTGGGAAAAAGGGATGAGGGGCGGGGAAGAGAGGAAAGGATTAATACAAAATTGAAGGGTACCATTTGGCTAAGAATAAGGAGTTAACTTAGATAGAACAAAGGATTGGGATACCTAAGGACTTCTCTAGATGGAGACATATAGTCACTGGGGCTCCTGGGAGTTCATGTTAGACTAGAGCAGGAATAAACTTGGTTTTATTTAGATGAATAAGTACAAACACTATGGTATCTTGAAGATAAATTCTAGGATAGACCTTGTTTAATATTTTTATAAATGGTCTGAGGATAAAAGACACATTGTGAAAGCTCTGGTTTTGCAAAAGACTCTAAACTCGTAAGAGGTGACAATCCAAGCTAGTGGGGATCAACAATAGAAGGAAATAACGTAGAAGGTGAGTTTCAAGAATCTGTGTTTCGGGCTGGCCCCGTGGCTTAGCGGTTAAGTGCTCGTGCTCCACTGCTGGTGGCCCGGGTTCGGATCCCGGGCACGCACCTACGCACTGCTTCTCCGGCCATGCTGAGGCCGCGTCCCACATACAGCAACTAGAAGGATGTGCAGCTATGACATACAACTATCTACTGGAGCTTTGGGGGAAAATAAATAAATTTATAAAAAAAAAAAAAAAGAATCTGTGTTTCAACATGGACAAATCCAAAATAAACTATTCATCCCATCCACCACTATCTATAATCCATTAGGATAGCTAATAGAAAAAAAAAAAAAAAAACATTCCCAATAGCAATATAAAAGATATAATGCCCAGGAATAAATCCAAAGTGTGCAAAATCTTTATAAGGCTTACTGAAAAGTCAGAAAAAAAAAAAAAAAACAATTGGAAAGACATGCCATGTTCCTGAATAGAAAGATTCAAGTCCATAAACATACCAATAATCTGCAAATTAATGTGTAAATCCAATACAATCCCAATACAACCCCAATCAGGCTCCTTATGAAACTTGACAAGCTCAATCTCAATTCAAATAAAAGAGAAAAATATGCAGAAGTAAACAGGAAGAATATCAGAGGTAAAAGATAAAAAGAAGCTATACCAACGGCCAATAAGCCTATGAAAACATGCTCAACATCACTAAACGTTAGGGAAATGAAAATTAAAACCACAATGCGGGGCCGGCCCGGTGGCACAGCGGTTAAGTGCAGGTGCTCCACTGCGGCAGCCCGGGGTTCACAGGTTCGGATCCCGGGTGCGCACCAACGCACCACTTGCTAGGCCATGCTGTGGCGGCGTCCCATGTAAAGTAGAGGAGGATGGGCACGGATGTTAGCCCAGGGCCAGTCTTCCTCAAGAAAAAGGGGGAGGATTGGCATCGGATGTTAGCTCAGGGCTAGTCCTCACAAAAAAAAAAAAAAAACCACAATGAAACACCACTTCACACCCATTAGCACAACTATTATCAAAAAAGCAGAAAATAACAACTGTTGGCAAGGACATAGAGAACCGGGAACCCTTGTGCACTGCTGGTGGGAATGTAAACTGGTGTAGCCACTGTGAAAAACAGTATGGAGGTTCCTCAAAAAATTAAAAATAGAATTACCATATGGGGCCAGCTCCGTGGCTTAGCGGTTAAGTGCGTGCGCTCTGATGCTGGCGGCCCAGGTTCAGATCCCGGGCACGCCCCAAGGCACCACTTCTCCGTCCAACGCGAGGCCGAGTCCCACGTACAGCAACTAGAAGCATGTGAACCTACGACATACAACTATCTACTGGGGCTTTGGGGGGAAAAACATGAATAAATAAAATCTTTAAAAAAAATAAAAAAAATAATAAAAAAAATAAAAAAAAAAAAAGAATTACCATATGAACCAGCGATTGCACTTCTGGGTACACACCCAAAAGAACTGAAAGCAGGGATTCGAACAGATATTTGTACACCAATGTTCACAGTAACATTATTCATAATAGCCAAAAGGTAGAAACAACCCAAATGTCCATTGACAAATGAACAGATAAACAAAATGCGGCATATACATACACTAGAATATTATTCAGTCCTAAAAAGGAATGAAATCCCGACACATGTTACAACATGGATGAACCTTGCAGACATTATTGTAAGTAAAATAAGCCAGACGCAAAAGGACAAATATTGTATGATTCCACTTATATGAAGTACCTAGAACAGGCAAATTAAATAGAGACAGAAAGTAGATGAGAGGTTACTAGGGACTGGGGAGAGGGGAGAATGAGGAGGTATTGTTTAATGGGTAGAGAGTTTCCGTTTGAGAAGATGAAAAAGTTCTGGAGAAGGGTGGTGATGATGGTTGCACAGCTATATGAATGTACTTAATGCTACTGAACTGTATATCTAAAAATGTATAAAACAGTAAATTTTATGTTCTATATATTTTACCAGAAAAAAATTTTGTTAACTTCAGTGTGATAAAATAAAGCATAAAGAAAATTAAAAGACAAGAAACTGGGAGAAAATAGTACAAACAGTAGTATAAGACTAATACACAGAAAAACCAAAGAGTTCCACCTTCTTAACAAAAATAAAAAGATAAGCATGGGTCAACTCAACTCTATGAACAATCTGGGAAGCGCAAATCAAAACAATTAGGTATAATTTCTAGCCCTTGGACTGACAAGTTTTTTGGATGGATACTTTCTTTGGCATTGACAAGATGTTAATTGATAACATTTTTAAATGGACAATCATATGTGCTGCTGGTGAGACTGTTAAAATTTAATGGAAAGTAATTTGGTATTAACTAACTATATTTAAATTCTGCACAAACTTTAACACATCATTTCAAATTCTAGAAATTTTTTCTAAAGAAACACATACAAAACTTCAGGCAACATGCTTAATTGAACTGAAGGAAACATCTGACCTCTCCATGCCAACACAGATAAATACTGGATTAATATATAACAATTACAACAACAAAACAAGACGACAAAAAAAAATTTTTTCAACATACCAGACAGAAAGAGAAATTCTCAGATGCCAGAACCAGAAAGAAAATGTGAAACCTGAGTAGTAAATGCATAAACTGACAGGTCAAGGGTGGTATCTTACCCAGATATAGGCCCTGAGAACTTGGGTTTTAATGCCAACTTAGGGACACAAAATGTGGCCTTAGGCCTTCATGAATTTGGAAACTAGAACAGACCCTTACATATATCTGTGGGCCTTAAGGCTGCTCTCTCTGTGACTAAAAGGACCTAGCAGGTCATGGAAGCAGCAAGCAAGCATGACGCCCACTCCAGGTTCTAGGCAGGCAAAATAAAATTTAATGAAAAATTGAAACCCGAAGACACATGTAGATAGAGAGTCCAAAATCTGGTAAGGAAATCCCAAGTCAGGAAATTAATGGAAAAATTTAGTCCTTAACCACTGATCAACCCTTGGCCGAAGCCATTGTAAAGCCACTCAACAAGCTAGGAATGAGACCTTCACAAAAAATAACCTCTACAGAAGATGAATTCACAATAAATAATTACAAACCACGTAAGGAAACAGTTCACCATGAAGGAAAATCAGTGACACAATGAAGAGAAGAATTAGCACACAAAGAAACTTAGCACAGAACAATCAAAAGAAGACTAAAAATAACTACATTTAAAGTTATTGTAGAGATAAAAGGAGTAGAATCCATAATGAAAGAACAGAACTCTAAAAAAACCCAGACATATTGAAAAGAACATAATAGAACTTGTAGGAATTGGTAATCATTAAACTAAAAAACAAAACAAAAAAATCTGGTGGGTTAAACGGCAGATTTGACACAGAAGAACAAATAGTGAATTGGAAAATATATCAAAGGAAATTATCCAGAATGCAGAATGCAAGATAAAGTGATTTTAAAAATATGAAACAGAAGAGACATGGAGGATAAAATAAGAAGGTTCAATATATTTCTAGTTAAGAGTTCCAGAAAAGAAAAGTGATAAAGTTTAGAATTTTCCAACATTGAAGAGAGACATGAGTCTTCACAGAAAGAAAGCACTCCAAATCCTGAACATGGTCAATAAAAACAAATCCATAGCTAGATACATTGTAGTGAAATTACAGAACACCAAAGATGAAAACAAAATAATAAAAACAATAGAGGGTTGTGATTGATTATCTACAAAGGAACAACAAATGAGACTAAGAAAATACATATCTTATTAGCAAAACCAAAAGTCAGAAGATAATGGTACATAATATTATCAAAGAGCTGTTCAACAAATAATTCCATACCCAACAAAACTGTTATTCAAGAGTGAGACCAGACAAAAATGACTAAGGACACAGGAAGATATAAATACATTTAGCATGCTTGATACAAAGGACGTTTATAGAACCCTGTATGCAAAAATGAGAGACTACACATTCTTATCAGCACACACAGAACATTTACATACAGAACATTTACATAAACAGAATCACTTACTGAACCACAAAAAAGTATCAACTTGTAACAGAGAATATAATGAATAAATAAAATTGGAAATCAGTAATAAAAAAAATTACCCAAACTGACCCCTTCAAACTATTATTTTGGAGCAAAGATACTCAACAAAATTTTAGAAAATCAAATCCAATAATATATAATCATGACCAAGCAGAGTTTATCCCAGGAATGTAAGGTTGGTTTAACATTAGAAAATCAATCAATATAACTGACCATATTAACAGACCAATATAGAAAAATCATGTGATCCTATCAATAAATACAGGAAAGAAATTAATAAAATCCAATATCCATTTCTGATTTATACTCTCAGCAAGCTAGGAATAGAAGGGAACTTCCTCATCCCAACAAAGGGCATTTAGAAAAAACCTGCAGCTAACATCATACTTAACAGTGAAAGACTGAAAGCTTTCCCCTGAAGATCAGGAATAAGGCAAAAATATCCATTGTCACCACTTCCATTCAGTCGTTACTAGAGGTTCTAGCCGGTGCAGTAAGGCAAGAAATAGAAATAAAAGGTATCCAGATTAGAAAGAAGAAGTAAAAGTGTCTTTACTCCCAGAAGACATGATCACCTATGTAGGAAATCCTGTGGAATCTATAAAAAAGTTACTAGAACTGACATAAGTGAGTTGAGCAAGGCCGCAGGCTACAAGATCAATATACAAAAACCAATTTTATTTTTATATGAATGCAACCAACAGTTGAAAATCAAAATTTTAAAATAACCATTTATAGAAGCATCAAAAATATGTACTTAGATAAATCTGAAAAAATACGGGCAAGAGGTTTACACTAAAAACTACAAAACATTTTTTAGAGATATTAAAGAAAACCTAAACAAATGGAGATAGACCATGTTCACCGGTTAGAAGACTCAATATTGTTTAAGATGTTAGTTCTCCCAAATTGACTTAGAGATTCAATGCAATCCCAATCAAAATCCTAACAGGATTTCTTGTAGAAACTGACAAGCTGATTCAAAAATTTGCATGGAAATGCAAAGGACGTAGCATTTTGAAAATGGAGAACAAAGTTGGAGGATTTACCCTAAATGATTTCAAGATATATTATAAAGCTACAGTAATCAAGATAGTATGGTATCAGTACAAAGACAGACAAACAGCAGAGAATCCAGAAACAGACCCACACGTAATGGTCAATTGAGAAAAAAATCTAAACATCCTTCAATATAAGAGTGGTTAAATAAATCAGGATTTTAAAAAATTGTGGTACATCTACATATGGAAAAGCATGCAACTGATAAAAGAATGAGGTAGAACTTCACACACTGACATAGCAGAGCAATATATATAGAATAGTGCTTATGTTTAAAAAACAAAACCATGTGGGAGACGGAGAGGGAGAGAGAGGGAGGGAGGGGGAAAGAGAGAGAGAGAGAAGAGAGAGAAGAGAGAGGAGAGAGAGAGGAGAGAGAGGAGAGAGAGGAGAGAGAGGAGA